TTTTACAAATTTTTGTTATTAACATTGTCTGATTGTTACCAAAATTGGCTTGCGGGCTAATAAGGCTATGACAAACAAATTTGGCCTCCTTAACTAACCTCGTAAAACCCCAAATTAACCATAATATTGATGCTTATTTGAGGTGGGGTGAAAAGGAAAAAAAGCCGGGAGATGATGTAACGGAAGAGAGTCAAAAACTTATTTCAGTTAAATTTTGTCGACTAGAAACCTTTAAAAACTCGCAACCTATGAGTAGGGCCATCTTCAGCTTCTCTCCGGATTGCACCGCTTCCCACCCATAATTGAAGTTGGAAAACACCACGAAGCCCAAAATGCCCAGCTGGTTCGGAATGTTGATGAGGAAGAGACATCGTCTGATGCCTTCGGACAAAGGCATTTCTTGATATATAGTGTCCCATTCTTTTCAAGTTTCCCCGCACTGTGATTTTACAATTATTGGTTATCCGAAAAGAGCAAAAAAGTTCTTTGTTTTTTTCACATTGGCAGTTTTATTGTGAGTTTGGACATGAAAGGTCTACATAATTTTAGCTAAGAATCTCACACAAGGAAACTGGAAAAGAGTAGCGACCTTTTTGGAATGCGACCCTAGTTGAGCTTCATTTGGCTATTTTAATAAGAACTGAATACGTGCAAGTTTTTCATTCGTAAAGACACTTGATTAATTTCGTGTAATATGAACAGTTTTTCATTATCTATTTTTGTGTTCTAAAGCACGTGCTCGAAGTGTGAAATCTTCACTAGTTTTACACATCCTCCAAAGTTATAATTTGTACAGCTGAAGCTGGATAATTTCTGTTTGCTGTACGGGTTTGGTTCTTCTGAGAATTAGGTAGAGAGAGCGATAAATTACATTTTTCAATAGTTATTCGTATTCCTTTCATATAAGATTTTTGACCTATTGACTTCAGTAAACGCAATTCAACGCAGTCTCTTTTTACTCTGCCTCTCTTTAATGGCCATTTTACGGGTTGTGATTTGAAAACTGTTCGCGGATTGAGTTCCCAGTAGTAACATCAATAGAAAATTGATAATCCAATTCTAGTAACATTTTCATGGTGAAATCCGTGTTATTTCATTGATTGATGAAAGCGCTATCTTTTATCAATGAGCATAGACAAATTAGCGATGTTTTATTAATGAATTAGCACTGGAAAACAATGAAAAATTAGGTGGTAGGCCAACAAGCCGAAGGGCCAACAAACCGAAAAGAGGGTTACCATTCCAACAAGCCAAAAATTATTATTATGCAACATAACAACAGATTGCGATTGTTGTTAGGCAATTGTTACGTAATTTTCGTTTATTCTAATGCAATTTTGGTTTTAGGTTATGACTGTTTGGAGACATGGCAGTTGTCGATTATCCGCCAAAAATAAGCACTAAACTAGCAATTTAAAATTGCTAATTTGTATCTTAAAAATTTGCTATTTGAGTAAATAGAGCTAAACCTTTGAAGGCGAACGTTTTTATTTCAAATTTCTGTCGCTAAATTCAAATGGTAACTCAAAACGGGTATCTAATCAAGAGAGTATAACCCAAATAACAATACGCATAGACACTAACACGGGCTTCCCGCAACTGAGAGCTTTGATCGGAAAAAGTTTTGATAAATTTTTTTTCGGCTGTTGCGAAAATTAGTGTGCCGTCTAATTAAACAAAAACAAACATATTTTTTCCTTTTATTGATTTTTGAAGAACAGCTCGTTTCACCAAAAACTTGATGCTGCTGTTAGGTGGGGGAGGATAAAATTCCAATATGAGTAATGATTTTAAATGACTAATTTAATGCTGACATAAAGCAATTCGAATTTGCATAGTAAACAAAATAACTATTTTAAACTGATTTCTTTTTTATACTTTACCGTGCAGCATCACACAATGAGCCATTTTAAAACGCGAAACTACTGTGAAAATGGGCATTTGGGGGAGAAGCGTAGAAAAGCTCCTTTTCTTCCTCAATAAAAGATTTTCATAAAAAATTTTGTTTGACAATAAGCGTTTCTGATTGTGAAACTGTTAGTTTGAGCCTGATTTTGGGCCTTTTTCCATATTCCTTGGCCTTGGTTTTTTTTCTGCAGTTCAATGTTTGACATTCTATTTAAAATGATTTTCATTCTATAAATTGCATTGAAACAAGTCAGAGAAAACAGGTGAACAAAATTTTCTGAAATTGCTGTCATGCTTAATGCCGTGTGAACAATTTTTGAACATTTTTTTTAAATTTCATGAAGGGGGAGGGAAACTGAAAAAAAGAACCTGTATACTGAAGAAAGTAAATATTGCAACCAAAAATTTTCGAAGACATTTTATTTTGATTTGAAAACCTCTGAGCATAAAATTGGCTCATTTTAGATGTGAAAAAAAAAAATCAAGATAAAATTTTTTGGTTGAAATTTCGTAAAATTTAAAAATTCATATCATATGGGCAAACTCAGATTTTGCTTTACTTATTTACAAAAAAAGATCAGTATTTTAGTTATTTTATCAAATTGCAAATTTCTCTTGAGCGGCTTCAAAAAATTTGAGTGAAAGTTAGGAAAGGGGTTTCAATTCTGAGTGTGGAAAAAAAGACTAGAAACTGGTTGAATATGATCTGAAGACAAAACTATGATGGAAGCTACAGCGTTCATCTAAGTTTATATGAAAATTTTATGGATTTTTTTTTCAATTTTTCAAGTTTTTTAGCTGCGTTACTGTTTTGTTCGAGTAATTCTGTAACAAATGAAATTCTGTAACAAATGCAAGTGAAGAATATACAGTGAGAGATAAAGCTTGTAAAGTTCACTTATAGGAAAACTGTTGCCTTTCAAACATGAGGTCTGCATTTTAAAAGTGCACAATTGAAATTTGTAATGTTTTGAAAATGTTATGTAACGTGAAGCCTAGATTTTTAAAGCAAAAACTTCCGATGAAATAAATTATATCAAAAAGTATGAACCATTCAGTAAAGACACGATTTCAATGAGCATCAAGCGCATGTATTTGCTTGCATTTATCTTCTGTTTGTTACACTGCAAAACAAAACTGTTCACAAGTATATATTATGACTGTCTAAACTGCCTAATTTGAAAACTATTTGGGCTACAAAAATTCATGATTTACGCAAAAATTTCAAAAGAAAAGCCGACAACGGATGATTTGAGCTATCAAATCTGGAAACAGTTGTTTTATCAGTAAGAAAAAGATAAAGTTTCTCAAAAGTGTCATTCGACTATGTTTCCGAAGTGAAGCATGAATGATGATTATCTAAATTGCCTACTTTCAAAACTGTTTTGGGCAAAAAAAAATTATGATTTATGCAAAAACTTCAAAAAGCCGACAACGGACAATTTGAGCTATAACATCTGGAAATATTCTGTTTTATCAGTAAGTAAAAGATAAAGCTTCTCATATGCGTCATTCGACATACGTGCGGCAATTGAAACTTCGGGTTTATGAAAAATCATAAGCCGGGAAATCACTCTATTTTGTCAGTTAATACTTTTATCGACCATCATGAATGATGAAATTGTTTCAAATTTTTGCTTTCCAAGTTCTGATGAAAAAGTTGGAGCATATTTTCTCGGCTTTTTTGAAAGTCAGTAAATGTAATCAACTTTTTACCTTGAAAAATTATATTAATTTCTTGCATTTGAACACAAGTATTGCGTATATGTTTTCAAAAATCAAATACGCTAATATGTCTGCTGGCTTGCAACGAGTCTTCTCAAAAAAGTCATTTTTTTAAAGTTAACTACTCGAAACAAAGGAACAAAGAGACGAAGCTGTGCTTTGCACCACTTGCGATACAAAATTGAATGACTGTTTTAAAATCAAATAAAATGAAAAACAAGTCAAAAAATAAGCCCAAAAAGTTGGGAACAAAATTAACTGCATCAATAGAAATTTCGGAGCTTTTGGAATGCTAAAAAGAAACCGAACTTTCAAAAAAAAACCTTCCTGAGGGAGATAAGCCGGCAAACATGAGCAGAAAGACAAAACCAAAATTAGACGAAATTTTTCTGTTTGAGAAGTCCCGACTGGAATCGAACTCCCGGATTTTGTCCCCAGGTATGGGTGTTACAGCTATTCAGAAGAAAGCTGAACCTTCAAAAAAGTCTAGCTACGAGAACTATGCCGACAAAACTAAACAGACGGACAAGTCCGAAAAAGCACAAATTTTTTTGTATGCAAAAAAAACAAATCGCGGTTGTATTCGAACCACAAGCCTTTTTCATCTCGAGCAGATGTGGTGCCTCTACGCCAGATGCTCTGGATGATTGATTGAAATTTAAAAAAAAGAAGTTTATGAGATGAGTCCTGAGAACAGTTGCTTGCGGGGAAAAAATGTCTAGTGCCCGATTGCAATACCCTTGCTTATCGCAAGGTTAAAAAAATCTTTTTGATAGTTCTTCATAAATCAAAGATAGCATTTTCTCTAGTTGTTACAAAAATGATGTGATTTGAAAGTTAATGCTCGCTTTTTGTTGACTCTGGAAAATTATTACTCTAAAATATTTTCAATAAATTGATCCTTAAAAACGCAACTTACATCAATGAGAATTGATGTGAATCACCGAAAAAAAAACTATTTAAATAAAACTGTTTCTCTTTCTTTTTCCTCCACCTGCAAATTTTAGCCTTTTTTCAACCTGTAATTTGAGTTTTTATTCAGTGTTCAATTGTTGCCAATTCAAAAATTGGCATGCGGACAAATTCGGCTATTGCAAAAAATGATCATCCTGTATAACCTTGCAAACCACTCGCTACACAATGAAATGCTTTGCTTGCTCATGTGAGACGGGAAATCTTTCTTTAAGAATTTTGACTTGAGAAGTCATAGTTTAGTATACAAACAAATATTGTGAGTTAGGGCTTTCACAGTCTGAAACATAGTTATTCATCGAATATTTAGTAACTCATGTTATTGAAGGCCAATCATTAAATGTTTCAAAAGAATTTGTGAATTTTTACCGGCGTCTTGATTTTGGATAAGAAAAGAATTTCTGAACAGTTAATTACAAAAATATTCGCCATGAACTCAGTTTCTTACAGTTTTGAATTTACATAGCAACACTATTTACACATGGAGAAAGGATGAGCCAGTTTTTGACATGTACAATTTTCATGTATCTACGATTGGAAAAACCTTCTTTACAGGAATATGCATTTGCAAGGAATGACACTTTGCAAAGCGCCGTCGCAAGTTTGATCAGATAATTTTTTTATAGCTACTCGCCTAAAAGATGATTGAGTTTTTATGGCAAGATGAATAACTACTTTTTTCTGGAACATTTTGATACTTTACAATTGGCAGAAAAGTTTTCGATTGAAAATTTGAAAAGCTATTGTAGTTATGTCGAATTTAATATTCGTTTTGTTGCATCTAACATTATTACTAGTAAAACAGTTTGTGGCAATCGACTCAATAATCTTCGGTTTTTCATTTAAATCTTTTTATTTGTTGAAGTTTTGAGCAAGTCCCAAGATCAGAACTCTTAAGTTAGAACTAGTTAACCAGTTTTCATAACTACTTATACATTCATAACTAGTTATCCAGTCTGGCATAGCAAAGCAGTCCCCCTGCTGATCCAATAGTCTGAATCGTAGCCCTCAATTGGAATGTCCACACACATGACATAGTTAGTTGAGTGTCCAGTAGATGACATGGTGCCTGTTCTCAGGGGGGTGCGATAGAGCGGACAAGAGTAGATTGGGGTAGACGGTGGGGGGAGTGGTGAGTTGGAACTAGTAGTTGAGGGGTCAGCGGATTCTACTTGGACAGCGGCGGAGGTTTTCCGGGTATCATTCTGAGCAACAAAAGAACAGGTCAGTTCCGTGCTCGTTGCTTGAGGGTTTGGCAACATTACCCAGCCCAGAAAAAACCAAAAAAATTGAATGTAGTTGTTAAACAGGGGCACAACAGCGGTTCGCCGTGATGAGCTGTACAGCTCGTATGTTGGGCCTTTCCCTCGTGGATAAATGGTCTAGTTGATGGGAGTATTTTCTGGAAGATGCGTCCTTGCGATTACAAGTTCTGGTCACTTATGACGCCAATCTCAGATACTTCATTTAGCACTGAGACAAATTGTAGCTATTTTTATCTTATCTAATTCTATAAAAATAACAAAAAAAGGTTCGCAAATATTTTAGCCAAAAGCCCTAAACAGTATTGGGCTCTTTTCCAGTCTCTCCCCCTTTGATTTTTTCTGAAATTAATCATATGCAAGTCTGTTTAAAATGACTTTTCATGTTATAAACTGCCTTAAAACGTCTCAGTCTGAATAAATTATTTCAAAATTTCTTTGCAAAATGCCGTGTGAACAATTTCGGAACAGTTTTTTTTGTAACTTTACAAGGGGGATCGGAAACTGAAAAAGAACCCAGTATTGGGGAGATCATACTCTTGATTCACATTTTCTTGATATGTTTAAGCACTTTTTTGAAGTACCTAATTGGTCATCTTACTTAAAACCAGGGGCGGATTTAGGGGGCGAGGGGCGGGCGCCCCCCCCCCCCCTCAGGGATTCGACCCCCTGCCCACCCAAAGGGTCCCCCCTTTAATACTTTTTCAGAAATCCATTTTTGGCCGACCGACCCTAAACTTTTTCCGCCAATATATACTAACTTTGAGGGGGAGCCCGCGCCAAAAAAAACTCGATTTTTTTGTCAAAATTTTTCAATAAGTGCCCAAAAACGGCTTTTGTTGACTGTTTTTTCAAAAAATTGCCTGCGGCGCAGAAAATTTATTCAAAATAGGGGCAAAACAGTGCTTTGGGAGAGCTCGAAAAATCAATTTGGTCGACTTAAAAAAAAAAGGTCGTCAAAATTTTCGATTTTTTTTGAAAATCCGCCCCCCTCGATCAGGTCAGCGGATTGAACCCCTTTTTTTCAACTACTGACCTTGACCGATCCTAGATCCGCCCCTGCTTAAAACATTAATTTTCCAGTCTAAAAATCACTTTTCTCACCTCAATAATTCTTCAGTGGCACTGGTCTGAACCCCTTTTTTTCAACTACTGACCTTGACCGGAATGAGATGCAGTTCAGGCAGTGAACTGAATCTGACCCCTGGAGGCAGATCCATTAGTGTGTTGTTCTGCCCATCCCAGCCAGCCCCATCTATGAACAGTCCGAAGATCAACACTCCCTCGGGCACTCGGTCGGAGGTCTAAACAATAGCAAATATGGCTGAAATTTGGGCCCCAGATTATAGGCTCGGTTCAATTGGTTGTTCTTTTCATGCATCCGTAAAACAGATCCACCACAACTCGCAATAAAAGACAAGTGAACGTTTTTCATAAAAGCGCCAACAAAAAGTTCATTTGACAAAAACATTGAATTGAACGTCTGTGTCTCTCAAGTTTCTTTAATCTATCGATTTGTAGAGCAAGACAGTTCAATGAAACTCTTCATGTCATTGAATAGCAATCAAATTTTGGTAAACAAAGCAATGAAGACACATTTAGATGTTCTCTCAAGCTCACAGTCGTACAATCATGACCTTTCCATTTAGAAATTCATTGAAGCGTCAAGAGAATATAAAAACTAGGCATTATCGTCATATTAAATTTGCATGCCAGTTGTTAGTTTTCTGAAAACAAAATCAAATTGTCTTTTATTTCGAGCATCTATAAAAGGAACAAAAAACTGAAACCCGCATTGCTATACTCATGATTCAACTTTACCCACCCCCATAACTTGGTCCCTGATGTCGTGAGTGCTGACTCCCCCAGGGGTATTTGTGAGGGCGAAGGAGAGGGAGAGGGAGTCTATGGACACTCCACTCTCCCTCGCGTGACTCTGCAGCACTGAGGTGATGAAGCCTAAACAACCGTTGGATTAATCAATTTGAGGAACTTTTGAATTCAAAACAGACAAAAAATCATGTATGTATATATAAATGGAAAACATTGAATCCGAGAAGTTCAAAACCGAAAGAGATTCGAACAGAATTTTCATTTTATAAAAAAATATATAAAAAACCTTATTTGAACGATTTCTCGATGATTAAATTCAATAAATTAATAAATTCCCTCTTACTATTAAATTCAAACCAAAAGTAGCTTTTTTACCAACAGATATTTTTACCTTGTGGGAAGAAGAATGCAGGTAGCCAGAATGCCCTCGGGTTTAGAGTCAGATTCGAACCGTCTCCCCCTGTCCCGTTGTAGACGGTCTGGACTGCATTGAGCACTAGTTCGGACCATGAGGCCATGAATTCCACTCGGAGGATGAGGTCACTCACCCACGAGGACACATTAGCCACACTCTCGTACGCCACAGCCTGTTGTTGTAAATGAGATATACTTTGTAATGTCGTATAAGAGCATAGTTGTTCTGATTAGTATTAAGTCACCCTTTGTTTTCGTATAAGCATAATAGGGGTACGTAGCAAAAAGTTGACAGGTCATAAAGAAGAAGGGTCGTTAGTCAATCATAATTGAAAGAATATTGAATAATTATTTAGTTCGTACGTTTCTTTTTTAAATCTCGAGTCTGATTAACTTACGACGTGTGTTTCTTTATGACATGTGTATTTTTTGACCGAATTCCGTATAACAGTTATACCAGTGGGTAGCTTCTTGTTAGGCTGAATAGCCTTTATGCTCCTTGATTATTCTCCTTGTTATTTGCTCTACGGAATCGAATGAACTGAATATAAGTATATCGTAGTATTGGAAAAAAAGCCACGTTTTTCCAATGCGCACGCCCCCTCAAAGTTAGTGTATAATGGCACTGAAGATGCCATCAAAAAAATTTAAGGATTGGTCCGCCATAAAATAATTGAGGAAGGAGAGGAGGAGGTGGTTGCCACTTTTCGGCATGCTACTGCTCTCATAGCAAGATATTGTTTCAGTATAATGACAGTTCTGCTCCTTGTAAAAGCAAGTATAACAGATGGCCCACGAAATTTACCATCAAGGAAGCGTTAAAAAGTAGGGATCCCACCAAAAAATTTGGGACATGCTACGACCATACATGAATGCATAATTTAATTATGTCGTTTACCTGCCACATTTTGGGCACCTTCTGCTGGACTAAAGCATTGAATGCCTCCTCTAACTCCTCGGACATGACTTGTATGCCCTGTATGGCCAAATGGAGGGAGTGGAGAGTGCGTCTGATGAGGCGGAGGAGTCTGTTGAATCTGTCAATCTCCTGTCTCAGACAGGTCACGAGGGCAGACTGGGCTATCAAGGACACTTCTGAGATGTCTAAAATAGTAGATAAATTATTATAAATTAATAACCCTTGCTGTCAAAAGTTAAACTCTCTGGTCTGAAAACTAAACTGTAACACAGAGTGCGATACAACACAAAAATAGAATTACAAACTAACCAACAGAAAATGAAACAAAAGCTGCTGAAATTTTTTTGAAAGTGGCGAAAAAATTGATTGACCAACACATGTATCTCTTTGTCTTAATTTTGTCTCAAACATAAATCATTTCCAAAAACTTATTAAATCAATTTAATTTTAAATTAGCAACGAAACATAAATTACAACGCAGTAACAAAACCGAAAAATTTTGAAGAGACACGTTGAGACGAAAAACGTAAAAAGCATACGCAGCTTTTCAAGTCCCCCTCGAAACATTTATATTAAAACAAATGATGCTCATCAAACCTTTGAAATTGAGGCAGGAAAGCCGATAAAATAACTGAAGCATTTTAAGCGGATTTAGAAGGGAGGAATTCGACCCCCTCAACAACCAAAGAACCTTCCTTTGGTATTATTTTATGACATCCATTTTCGGCCGACCAACCCTAAAATTTTTGTAAAGGCACCTTTGGTGCCAATATATTCTAATTTTGAAGGGTAGAACGCCAAAAAATCGCATTTTTTTGGACAAAATTTTCCAAAAAGTGCCCAAAAACGGCATTTTTGACGTGTTTTTTTTTTAAATTGCCTGTGGTGCAAAATGTTTTGGTCAAAATAGGGTCTTTAGAGTTCTGGGAGCGCTCGAAAAATAAATTTTGCTGACCTAAAAAAAGGTTGACAAAGTTTCCGAATATTTTTTGAAAACCCACCCCCTCGAGAAAAACCAACACCCGGCCTTGCTGAAATCGGAGTTGGTAAATTTTAAACCAACATACAAAAAAAAACAAATTAAATTTCGAATAGAACTGAACAGTAAAATGCAGACATGCTCTAAATTTGTCAGTTAGTTGACGAAAGTACAGAATTGGAGATAATTAAAGTTCAGTCATCCTGTGAGAAAAGTCATTTACGAATAAAAGTCTAGTACCCGCAGGGGTTAAAAAATCATAGATCTATTAATGATACATAAATTATATTAACTATCTATTGACTAATAAGTTAATAATACTTTGAGTGTACTCGGGAGCAGACTCTGATATGGGAGAAACTTCTGGTATATCTGAAATAGTAGAGATTAGTTTTAAATTGCAGTTGCAATAGTTAATAACTAATTCATTGTCCATCAAGCAAATAAAACTTAGATTGGATCTGCACTGAAGTCGAGTTTCTTTTGCTTTCAATGAAGCACAAATAATTGGACAAATAATTGGACATAATTCGGTCTGATTCCTGAAATAGCAGAGATTACCAATACTGAATAACCCCTACTGACCAAAATGCACACCACTAAGCTGAAAACTAAATTGTAAAAAGTCAGGATATCTTTATCTATTTCCCCCCTTTTGGTACTTAGTAACGAGTTGCCACCCTGTAATGAAATAATTCAACGGTTTTCGTACATGGTAACGAGCCTCCCCTATTGCAAAGAAATCCAAAAATCATACTATATATGGCCAGGCCATATTTGATAAATCTTCAAGAATCTTCAAGATCTTGGAAAGATTTTCAAGATGACTGGACCTGGGGGATATACATAGATAAATAGACAACAGTTTTTTACAATTTACTTTTTAGCTGAGAGGTTGCATCTAGTAGGTTTTAATAGAAGTTACATTAGTTATCATAAGATTTTGATTGTACTCGAGCGTTCTTGAAATCGATACTGACAAATGGAGGACAGTTCTGGTTTATCTGAAAAAATAACCAGAACCATCTGCCTCCCCCCACTTCTCGTTTTGTCCCCCCCCCCTTCCCTGTATTGACCATAAAAGCTAACTCTCCTGTCAACATTTCAATATTTTCAAGATGCATCAATAATTGAAGAATCTGCAAAATATAATGAAAATATTATGCAATAATGACACGAAAAAAAGTTCGCTTCGATCGCAGGGCATCTTATCAAAAAAGGTGAACAGATCAAAACATGGATTTAAGTAGCAGTAGAATAGCAAATGAACGATTTATACACACAAAAACACAACTGACACACATCAAAGATTTAAGATGCATAGATGCACAAAAAACAGCACTTCATAACATCGTGATTGGTATCCATAAACTCACATTTTTTATATCTCTCGCTCTTCTTATATGGCTCTAAAATCGAAAACTAGCAGAAAGCTTCTTTCATAAGCAGTTACCCTGCAACTTCTAAAGAGAACAAGACTGCTCGGATCAGGGCGAAGCCCTGAATGTTCCGACTGCCTTTTAAGGTTTATGGAGCAGTAATAACATTTAAAAATTTCAAATCTAAAATTTGAAATTTTTTTATGAAAATCATCCTCCCACACGCCATATAAAATACAAAGTGATAGACTTTACTCCTTGTAACAAACCAATTATGGCAAATAAGCTTCTTTTAACCTATTTGGAACGATTTCTAAGACGGATTAACTCTCCGCTTACGCGTTAATAGCGCGAAATATATCGAGCCTTAATTGTCCCAAATTGGCCAAAATGGCAATCTTTAAACCCCCGTAACTTTACGAAAAATGATCACAGGTGAAATATCTTTTCAAATTTGAGCTTAGGACAACAATACCTTTCGAATGATATAAAAAAATTCTGTCAAAAATGGCTAGTTAAAAAGTCGAAATTTGTCTGAAGAAAAAAAAACCCACCCTGAGCACAAATATTCCGTTACTTTCGTATCGAAAGTCGGAACAATAACATAGCAAACTGACTGTTGAAAAAGAGTAATGAACCCAAGGAAACTGAAACAAAAAATAACTTGTTTTTTTTTCAAAACCTTCATTTTTTCAATTTTGAAAAAAAATAGACAGCCTTAACGCTCTTTGAATTATTAGAACAATTTATGATGGACACTTTTCTGTTAAAATTAACCCAATTTGAGTAAAAATTTTATTTCGCTGGGAGATCTAATAATTAAATTCCATTTTCGAAATTAGAAGCCGATCAAGTTTTTCGTGACCTTAACCATTTTGCTGTTCGATATTGGAGTTTGCCTTCCTTTTAACAATAAAAATTAACTGAACTTTAAAAATTTACCAAACCGCAAAAAATCAAAATTGAGCGCGAACAAATTTTAATACTTTTTCCTGAAAAAAAATCAGCGCAAGATCTATATAAGAGTACTCACTACGTTCATTACTATTAAAAATTATGAAAAAAACAGTCAAAAGACATTCAAATGGGCGAAAAAAGCAAATTGAACTCACAGAAACAGAAAAAGCATACTGAGGCTCTTTTGAAAAAACATCTGGTATCAAGTTGCAAAAATATGCTTGGGGTTTTTTTTATTCAATCAAATTATTATGGCGACCATTCTAACCGTTTCTAACAAACAAAATTTAAGACCCCATCGTAGATATCGACTGGTTGAGGTCAAATTAAAAAAAAATGCCTCCAAAAATTGCCTCCAAAAGTTTTATGGGTTCAAAAATTGCAGACTTGGCTATGCTCTAGATTAATTTATGCTCGCTTTAAAAAATTTATTTATGATGATGAAAGGGTAACAAGAATTATTTATACGAGGCAAACTATCTCGAACTGAAAAAAAATGTTCCAAATTGAATTGCGGCAAGCTACATTGGTCGTAGTAATTTCGTGCGAATCAAATTTTATACTTAATATTGTCTAAAATATATGATTTTTCTGAAAAAAATTACCAAAAATTGCTCCATACGATTAAATGGCAGTCGGAACAATCAGGGCTTAGCCTTGGTATACGAGCAGTCTTGTTCTTTTTAGTTCGTTGCAATTAGGAGTCAAGTTCGATTTTGTTTTCGAACAGACAGTTGAAAAAATTAATGGTTTCAAAAAACTCAAACACCACATTGGTTAGGAAGTGTTTTCAGCAAAAAAAAATACGATCATAAAGCTGATCGAATCTGTTATGGTTGACACTTTTGATCAAACTAAACCAATGTAAAAAAACAGGATCAAAAGATATTTTTTAATCTACGGGAATGAGTTAACACATTTAGAAACTTGAATTCGAGCCCGTTTTTTTCGCCATTTGCACGGTTATTATTGAACTTTTCCGTGAAAAAACAAGGATAGCAAAAACAATTTCAGAATGATTTTTCTCGAGACTGATACAATTTCAGAAGTTTTTGGAAACCGAATCATTTTCAATAGGGCTGTGATATGATAGGACACTTGACCTCAACGAGCTTTCTTTGAGGTTTCTAAAACTGGGCGAGAAACATACCGTCTTAGGCCATTGTTTTTGTCCCACTCCTTTTGGAACAGTGATCACAACAAAAACAAAACCCACCTCCTGAATATACGATTTTTTTTTCAAACATTAACATTTCACATTAACCTTTGATTTTACTTTAATTTAACAATTTTCTTAGTACGCTGCTGTAAAAATTGTATATCGAAAGTATTGACTCAATTTCAAATTGAGATATTTGACAAACGAAATCATTCAGTGAAAGTACTCACTTCCGATTGTCTGCTTCTTTGCCAGGAACTGGTTCTGACTCATCGATGCCCTCACGTCACTCACAAACTTACTCAGCCCATTGACTGTAGTCGGCATAGGGTGTACATCTTTAGTAGTCTGAGAAGAGTGGTGACCCCCTTTGGGAGCATTGTGGGGTTTGTTGTCGGTTGTTGTGGGGTTGGTAGCTTGCTCGACTATTTGGGGCACTCGGAATAGCATGTCATTGACCATGCTTAACACTATGGATTCGTCACTTTGTCCGGCACTGAAACCGGTATTGAAAGGAAATTTTAAATCAACCGTCGTTTTAAATCTTCTGTTATTGTTTTCTCTTATAATCGGTCACTGCACGAAAGATGCAACCGTTTAGTGGTTTTAATATTATCAAAGGACCGTAAACTGAACTTCCAAACTGAAATGTAAGCGAATTACTAAAACCCGTCACCTTTGTGATATTTTATGAATAACTAAACGCCAATTAAGGCGTGTGCAGTTTTTCCGGTATTTTTTGGATGTTTTCGAGACAAGAGAAGGAACTAAAAGGTTCTTACTAGCGTTCAGAGACGAGACTCGAGGCTTACCATGCCACCGTTTGACGAACTTTGTCGGCAGTTAGAACAGGTCGGTTAGTTTGTTACAGAAGCAATCAAATGGTTTATCATTACGAGGCCAAACTGTGCACTGGATAGGAGGACATTTTTGTGTCTGTAGTTCCTGGATTCCAGAGACAAATCTTTAAGCATGTTAAAATTTTGTCAAAACGATCAAAGGAAATGAAGGAACAGAAGAAGAATAAAACGAACGTCCTTGTTGCGGAATCCGCTTACCATTCACAAAATGCACAGGCAAAATGGCCTAGTAATGATTGCAATCACCTACCTGATGGTTCCACTGGACATCCTCGGCTGCAGACTCTTCATCTGTTCCACCAAAGTATGACACCCCATCATCTGGAAAGACCTCTGCGCATTGGAGTGCATCCCAAATATCTCTGGCAGGTCATCTGCAGGTAATTCCTCAATTAACTTGGAAACAGCAGAGAAGGAATCGTCAGACGTGGAAGGCATTTTGTAGACCTTAAAAAGAAAGACTATTCAATCTCAACTATGTATGAAAAATATCTCAAATTATCAAACAAATCATTGAAATTTTTTTTTCGACCAAACAATTGTACTTGACCCTTTCAAAGGCATACGCAGAAACACCCATCTCAACAAACTACTGCACCCATTCGAAGCCGTTTTTGATACTGTACAGACACGTTGAAATTATTGAAGAAAAAAACGAGCAATCCAAGCTGGAGAAGGTTCAAATATTTTAAGATTTTGCTCCTGTTTGAACCATTAATGCCGAAGTCTGAACAACTACAATGAACTCACTTGATCGGAAGTGAACGAAAAGCCCTCTCCGAATATCTTTGCACTGTAGAACCTCCTCATCACTGTCGCCAAACACTTCCTGTCGAAATCATCAGTCACTCTTCCCCCATACACCAACTCCCCCGTCATGTACAGCAGGGCGTCCCAGGGTACTGAGTCACTTGAGTTGCACGAGCCTAAAATATGCAGTTGATGTCCTCTAACAGCAAATTATCATTATCAGCAAAATTCTCAAGTATTTTGAAACATATATAAATAAATACAGTTACCTGGTCGAGATCGCGCTCAAAAACCGCTCAAGATTTGAAGGGTTTGAGCAGTTTTCCAGCAAGATTTGAACGGTTTGATTGAAATAGGGCGAAAAACACAATATATGTCGCCACGTTTCTATAATAGTTGCCTACCTAAGAAAGTGTCTAACTGGAGAATGGCAACGTCCAGGTCATTCTGAGTAAATTCGTAGGGGATGTTCCAGCCGAGCGCTCCGAATTTGCGTCTCTCAACGACGACGCAGTTGAAGAGACAAAGACTGAAAGTACAAAAAACTGTCAAATACAAAACCACAAAATATAGATTATAGACTTCGTCATTCAATACATTTATATCAGCATTATGCTCAGTATGGTAAAAAAAAATATGGAAAAAAAAAGTTGATTGTAAAATTGTCAAAACTGACAAATCTGGTCAGTGCATTAACCTGTATAAAATTTGCTTCCATGGTGATCCAGGCACCTCGCTCCTCTGGTTCCAGATACTCTCTGTCACAGTGGCATTGGACCCACTGCTGAATATTCTACCCAGAGCTCCCTTAATACCTTGTGGGTTCTCAATCGTCATCTAATATGAAAATGAGATGAACGATCGTAATAAATTAGGCTTCAACCCGGAGTTCTTTTTATTTTTTTAACAAAAACCATTAAAAACTGAAAATAGGGAATCAGACAGCGAATGTGCAAAACATCGTTGCTGAATCATACTGAACGAAAACACCAGATGTTTCTAGGCGGCGTCTGACAAAAAATAAATGGTTTCAGGATATTCCGGAAAACAAAGGAAGAAAGATGATATAACCCAAACAAGGACAACCGGTTACTGTGCAGGTAGCACAGAATGTTCTGAACACAGTCTTAAAAAATACAAAAAGTTTTTTTTTCAAGTGATGTCGTTTTTTTTCTGCATATTGCGATAAAAAGATCTGAAGCAAAAAAATAGAAAAATTTCAAAAACTTTTCAAATATTTTGCAGAAACGTTTTGAAGTTTTTGATTCCCAAAATTGGGCTAAAATCTCCAAAAACTACCTTTTTTGAGTAAAAGTAAGTTTTCACGGCTTAAATTACGCTACCTCGAAATTAGACCAAAAATTTCAAACTGGTTTTTCTCAACACGGTGAAAAAGTTTTCAAAATTTTCAAAAGTCGTTCGAATCACGACTGAAAGGGCTTTAATACGATATATCACCCAAGCCAGTCTGGTCATAATTTGTGGTGCCTGATTTTGCGTGGAAAACAAAAAGCAAAATAAAAACTAAAACATACCCTAGTACAAAGTTCCTCCCCATTTTCAATGGTCGGAACAATAAGTGACTTCTCTGTACTCAGTATAGTAACATCTGCATATTCAATCCAACTGAAATCTATGTTTAGTTTGGTTTTTCAAGTTTTAGCAAAAACAGTGTTGTGGCGTGTAGTTAACCTTGAGTCCCTGCTGTAGGATGGGGATGGGGAAGGCGGCGTTGGGTTTGGAACTGAGCCACAGTCTGAAGTTGGGATCCACATCCGCGCCAGGCTTCGAGAAACTGCAGCGAAATATGCGTGTTGATTAGTTAATTTATGACTACATTTACGAAACAGTAAATGTAACAGTAAGCAAACAGGAGAAAATGAGTCTCCCAATTCGGAGCTATTTTTTGTTAAGAAACTAGTGTTTATGGCCGAATTGTATCGCTACAAAATTGAAATTACATTTTATGAATTTCATCAATCTCGGGAAGAATAACAATAAAATCGAATTGAATGATAAAAATTAAGAAGACCAACAGATTAAGACTAAATGTAAAAACTGAACTTGATTTTAGTGTGTCCTATATTTTCACCACGTCATTTCACCCCCTCCTTTTTTACACCCATCTTTTACCCCATAGCAAGATTCCTTTTACCCCACTCCAATTTCGCCCCATTTTACAGCTTCGACTTCACTCCAAATCAAATACCTCTTAAAAGTCGCTGGGTTGCGCTTCCGATTGAGATACGATTTTTAAAAGGATTCTCACCTCTCAACCAGTTCCTGTAGTCTGGGCATGAAACTCGATGCCAAGTGGCAGTTCTGCAGAAACACCCATCGGTTTTTCAGGATTTGCGCCTTGCTTATCAACTCTTCCGCCCTAGGTCCCTGGCCTCTTCCAAGTGAAATCATGTCTATGTGGAGTGCTGAGCCTCTTTCTACAAAATGAAGAACTATTGTTGATTTTATTATACAAGATTATGATTCGCAAGTTGCAATAGAAGTTTACTAAGTCCTCTGATTTAATAAAGAAGGACCAACAGTCAAAAAGGTTAAAAACCAAAAAAAGACTGATTGAAAAGACATTTATAAAAGCAACAAGAATAGCCGGTTGCTGTGCAAATACCGCTTCAAATGTTCTGACCACAATAATTTCAGAAGTGGTAATTTTAGCCAAATAACAATAAAAAAATGAAATAAAAGATAAGATGATTGCTCTTCATCAGAATTTGCCTTATTTTTATCTAGTTTAGTCTGAAAAACGAAAAAGAATCAGACCAGGTTTTCTCGACAAAGAGCAAACTGGAACCTGATCCAAACTGTATATTATTATTGGTTATAAATTAGATATTTTATCCCTTTAAAATATTGAAGACTAACCAATCATACTCCATCTAACTAACAACCCATTTATTTGTAAGTGCTGAAACTACTTGTAGTTTCAGCACCAGAGCATTCTGAATTTAACTTACAGCTTAGTTGCCTTTTCCAAGAGACCAGCTCGTAACAAACCAGTATACTCTAGATCTATTGAGACTAAGAGATATAAGAGTAAGATTAAGATCGGTATTAGACTAAGAAGTTGCACAAATCTATCCGGCCGAAAATAAGATAGCGTGACGAGCAGACGGTGTACCTTATCTGAAATTACTCTATGAGTTAGACATACGTCCCAACTCAAAATTTATCTTTTTTTTAAGAATCCGAATCACGGCCATAAGGCTTTTTTAAGATTACACACTTGAAACCCTATGAGTTTTCCATTAGGTAGGCAAAATTGGTTGGGAAAAAAAGCGAACCGAGCCTAAAGTTCCTGCCATTCACTTCATGAAAATATCCGAACAAACATAGCCAACTGACAGTTGGAAAAAGGAATGAAAGCAAGAAAATGTTAAAGATTGACCGGTTCCTATAAAAACCTTCAATTTTCAAGTTTTAAAGAAGAAAGATATGCCCTTGAAACTCATTGAATTTCAAGAACAATTTATGACTAGCAGTTTTTTGATCAATTCAACCCAATTTGCGAAAACTGGATGAATAGGTAAACTTTTTAGTCCTCTGGGAAATCTGAAAATTGAAATCCACTTTCAAAATTAAAAGTCGATCGCGCATTTTGTGATCTTTACACTTTTGCTGTTTGCTAGTGGCATTTGCCTTCCTTTTAACTCTAGAAATGAATCGACCTGAAAAAACTCCAAAGCAAAACCGCAAAAAAATCAAATTTGAACGTGAACAAAATTTTAAGGAGTCTTCACTACGTTCATTACTTTATATAAGCAGTTATTGACAAATATTAGAAAAAAAGTATCACAGGTTTCAAACTAACCTCAGTAAAATATTTTCGGGTGAATCCAGGTTTTACTATTGATTATAGTAGAACACATAGCCAACAAACCGTTAAAAAACGTGAAAGAAAAAGAAAACCGAAAATTTTTTTTTTCAATTTTTGAAAAAAAATTATATCATATTAAATATCTACAATTTTCAAGAATTACTTATTACCGGCAATTTTCAATTAAAATTATCTCATTCAGAGAAAACAGGGTCAATAAGTAATTGGTTCATTCCGCTGAAAACTAAAAACAAACTAGAAACCATTCTCATTTTCTTGACTTTTTCACTGTTGCTGTTTGATAGAGAAGTTTGCCTTCATTTATTAAATGAAATGAATTTGAAAAAAAGATGAGTCAAATCGCGAAAAACAAATTTGAGCGTGAACAAATTCAAGACGTTTTCCTGAAAAAAAAAACTAAAAATCATCAACACCTACATAATTGAAAATCATTCCATTCTTCCACATTTCAAAATATTACTCCAGTTCATAACTTTTTATTTCATTATTTCTTTTTTGTTCTTCGAACTTTTTACTTTGAGCTTTTTACTATGAGTTCATGATTTCGATATCCAAAGAATGTTTCATGCCGTCAAAAATTTTCATCTCGAAATTGAAAATTTGTCTGGAGAAAAAACCTTGGCTAGGTCAAGTTTTTCTGCGATCGTTCTTCGTGTACTTGCAACACTTTTTCGCACAATTACGGGTCTTTGAAAATCAATGGCTTTTCACATCCACCTTAATTGAATTTCATTATTGAAAAACTATTTTAATGTCTGCATTATGTAATGCAACTTTGCATGATAAACAAATTGAAAATTATGCGCAGCGTTGTTTTTATGCGTAATGTCACACCTAAACCCATAATAGCATGAGAAACCAAACTGAAAATGAAAAACCGGCAGTATAATAGATTTGGAAAAAAAACTGCGAATTCAGCCATTTACGTATTTTTATTATGCCCAATGCGTCAGCGGCGAAAAACTTTGAGCTAAAAATTGTTTGACTGAATTAATTTGTTTACGATTCATTTTCTACTACCACTCAATTTTATTAACATTTGCTTTTTATCAATCCGATTATAACTTTAGATTGAATGATGATGTAATTTTGACGCAAGCGCTGTTCCGCCCACCGTATATATTTTGCTTTCCATGATTAAACATTGAAGCAATAGCAAACAACATAATATTATTTAAGCCACAAAAATTGAAGTTCAAATATAGTTTGAATTTTCATCAAACTTCCTCTAGTTCAAAAAACAACTAGAGGGTAGTAGCGTTTTATTGTTCTTTTAAAATCAAAAATCGATCACCTTAAAGCAACGTCAATCACTGAATGATAAAATTTGCGTCAAACAAAACATATTCAATGAACCAATGAGCCTAATTCAGTTGAATATAAAACATTTTTGAGTAGGTATTTTTTAAACGCTTATATTGGTTATCTTAACAAATTATTGTTCCGACTCTCGAAGAAAATGAAATATTTATGCTCGGTGTAGTTTTTTATTCAGTCAATTTTCACCGATCGAAATAATAATTTTCAACAAAATTTTTTATACCCCATTGAAGATATTGACTTCCTTGAGTTCAAATGTATATTTTTTTGTAAGTTCTAGGGGTGTGAAAATTGCCAAATTTACCATGTTCTGGAGTGAAATATGCGCGATTTTAAGAGTTTGTTGATAATGCTGAGAACGTAACGCGAATTATCCCGCACAACAAAATCGTTCCAAACTGAATTGAGGCTAGCTAATTGGTTGTATTAATTTCGTACGAGTCAAAATTTTACACATTGGTTTTGTCCAAAATTTCTAGCTTTTCAATTTTTTCATTCCCAAAATTTATTCGATATAAATTAAGGGACAGTCGGAAAATTCAGGGCTTTGCCCCGATATACGAGCAGTCTTGTATGACTTAATGAACAATCAATTAGACTATATTTGCACGTTTCAAACATCCGTAAAATTTTCATAATAGCATTAGAAATCAAACTGAAACTGAAAAACCGGCAGAATATATCGTTAATTTTGAACTCAGTACATCGATATAGTCAAGCTAACGTAGAGTTAAACTCAGTTAAAAAACTCTTTTCGAAAATTAACAAAACTGCTCGAATCAGGGCTAAGCCCTGAATGTTCCGACTGCCTTTTAAGGTCTATGGAGAAATAATAACATGAAAAAAATAAATGTAATAGAACATTTTATTTTAAAAAAATTGAGGTTTTTTGTGAAAATCATCCCTCCACACGCCATTTAAAGTACAAAGTGATAGATTTCGCTCCTAGTAAATAATCAATTATGGCAAATAAGCTTCCTACAACCGATTTGGAACGATTTCTAAGACGAATTAAATCTCCGCTTACGCGTTGATAGCGCGAAATTTATCACGCGTTAATTGTCCCAAATTGGCCAAAATGGCAATTTTTTTAAACACCCATAACTTTACGAAAAAAGATCACAGGTGAAATATCTTTCCAAATTTAAGCTTGGGACAACAATACTTTTTGACGGGAAAAAATTCCGTCAAAAATGGCTAGTCAAAAAGTCGAAATTTGTCTGAAGAAAAAAAACCACCCGAGCACAAATATTCCGTTACTTTCGTTACAAAAATCGGAACAGCATGGGTATAAAATTACAATTTTGACAAAATTATTCAGTATTTCATCGAAGGTACGATCAATTGTTTCAATTATTGCTTCTGGTAATTGTTGCGTGCGAATTACCAATTTTAAGAAACTAAATGATGCAAGCAATTTTGCGTCAGTTCTTCAACTTGCAAAAAATTTGCGAGGCGGTAATTCGTAACAAGTAACAAGCGAAACAGTAGATTAAGCGTCAAACACAAAATTACGAGCAATAGTCCTCTCATGCCAAAATTAAGCGTAGCGGAGCGAAGCGGAGCAAAGTTTCACTACTTGCCAACGACGTGTAACTAATTGTCGCTTGTTACGAATTGTCACTCTGCTAAAAATTACAATTTATCAAAACTTTTCTTACCCAAACATTTTTAAAACAAACGAACGTTTAATTTTTTGTAATGGTACAAAGAGTGTTGCTATTATTACCTTCAGTAGCGAATTTCATCAGCTGAGCAACTGGATCTGACCCAGGCGATAGAAGGAAAATGAGAGGGGTGTAATGAGTGGCCTGTCTGAACAACTCCCCCATATCCAACTGCACCCCCGAGACGTACTGGGACCCCATTTGTGAGTGGATACATTGTCTAACTGAGGGTACAAAGGTGTCCGGACGAAGCACTTTGACCAGTATTAGTTTCTGGAAATCGGAGAGGGTGGTCCATTCATAAGCTGCAGCATCTGGAAAAATTTATGAAAAATTAATTTTGTTTTGAAAAGATCAGAATAAACCAGTCATGAAAATAAAGAACTGATGAAAATACAGAAATCTATGACATTGAATGGCAACATAGTTTAGTACATTGCATGGCAACATACAGGGTAAACTAAACTAATGGACGAGAAACTTGAACTACTTTGGATGATAGATGAAACCGTTGTATGAAATTTGATCTCATTTATCAAACAATTGATACGATCGATGCCAGTAGACAGATTATTTATCATTCCATAAAATTCCAGTCCAAAGATTTCCATTTTAAACGTAAAGACCAATTTAGTCCTTATTGAAACTCACCTTCGCTTGTTTAGCAAATTGTGCTAACTTGCCGAGTTGGTAGGATTTGGTATATGGGATCTTATGACATGTGGCATATTCTGCCCTGATACCAGATGATACAGTAAATACAGGATAACATTCGCAAATATTCTAACACTAAACATTTTCCAGCATGAAGATGAAGAAAGAACACTTACCAAAAACAAAGCCGAAGCTTTTTTCGCCATTATCAACTGCAAATAGATTTCAAATTTAAAATCTTTAGAACTTAGAACTGGTTTGAATGAAAGTAATTTACAGTTCAACTAGCAACTCAAAAACAATTTAGCTGGCTGATTTAATTGTTTTTTTTCTACACAGTTCTTACTCCTGCATTTTATGGAAAACTATCAGTCGGAGTATCAACCGGCTACCATAAAAACAAAAATTATGTAACAGTTACGAATTTCCAATCGAAAGACGTATCTTTTGTCTGGTGTATATACTCTGCGGCGTAACTTTTAGCAAGATGATATATTCGGTTCATTTTTGGCTGCGTTATATTTAGGCATAAGTAGCTATTGTAAGCCTGTTCGCTCGCTTTATTTGCTCAAAATTAGACCAAAAATTTCAAACGGTTTTTCTCGACACTGAGAAATTTTTTTGGGAAATTACTAAAATTATGTTGTATGAATCACTGCTGAAAGGGCTTTGATATGATATATCATTCGACCCAATCCAATTATTATTTGTGTTACCTGAAAAAAAGTAAAACACACCCGAATACAAAATCCTTCCCCATTTTCAATGGCCGGAACAAGCAGCCGCCATTTCACCATGCCATGTCTATCAGATGGTTATTAATCACAATCCAATAACTCTATAACTATCTTTTTTTTTTTTACCCTTGCGATTAGCAAGCGTTATCAAAATGACATCTAGAATTGCTTTCAGGTTAACAAATTGTTTAAATCACTGTAATCATTTGATAGCTTGATTACTAATATATTCAGTTTCCTTGGCTTTTCCGATGCACGTGGCGTAGAGGTAACGACTACGCCTGGGACGGCAAAAGTCCTATAATTGAGTCCAGCCACGAATTGTTTTTTTTTCTAACTGAAGAAATACAGTTTTTAAAAAAAATGGCCTATCGTTTTTCATGGAAGTTTACCACATCACGGAAATTTTTTGTACTGAAAAGACTTTTCTTTGTAGTTACAAGTGTTTTTTTTTACTCGTGTAATTTGTAAACTGAATAACCTTTACTTTGCATATTATATTTTTTTTCGCGTCAAAGCTTAATTCAGCCTAAACGGTTTCAATTTATGTTTTGTCGACTTAGTGACCAAACTTTGTGCTGTTCGAAGAAACTTTTTCCATTTTTCTGTGTACAATTTCCACTTCTGCCAAACTTGGTTTCAGACTTATTTTCGCTTTGAAAGAATTGTCACCTCACAAAAAGTATGCTCACCTATTGAAGCGTTGGAGTCATCCTCAGTCTTCGGTTTTCGTTCCAGTACTCCAAACGGATCCCCACTCTCGCCAAACTCCACCCACTGGTGGGGGCTGGCAATTATATATCTGTTCAGATGTTGAAACACTTCTAGTGACCCAGACAGGAGCTGGCACTGTTTCCAGGCTAATGGTGATAGCCACTGGAACAGGGGTTCTTGTGTGTGTGAATCAACTATGTTGAGAAGTCGCGAGTAAGGAATGGGTTCTAAAACACAGATTATAAATCAATATTCGTTTTCATTTTAACCTCTGGTGAAAAAATTAAAGCTAGAATTAAGGCCACTCACATTGTTCTTTTTAACCTCAATACATTTTTTTCTGACATTTTCTGGACATTTCTAGTTATTTTAGAAATCATTCGAGCTAAATGTTTTCAGAAATTGTCTCTCCTTCCAAATTCATTTAAGTCCTTACTTGTTTCTGGTTCACTGGTCGTATGAGCTTCAGCCAAATCGGACAGTGCATCTGTATGTAGAAACACATTCCACTCTTCGGGGCTGATTCGGCCAGCCGCCCTCTCTATGCTGGTGTAGATGTGGAATGCAAACAGCAGGAGGTCTTCTGAGAAGATGGCCTGAGAGACCACTTTGAAGATGTTCTCTGTTAGCCTAAAAACAAAGAAAAAAAACTCCAAAGAAAAAACAAACAAACAAATATTAACATGAAGATAAAATTTGCTGAAGATAATTTTCACTGAACTAGCACAAAAGTTAATTAAGAATTGCATTTGACACCAGCTGTTGACTGACCCAAAAAATAAACTTTTCAAGCATTTGCACACAATAATGAATGAATACAAAATATCATGTGACAACGACTCCAAATCCTATAAGAAACTCCAAGCTTTTTTCAAATCTTCCATTTTTGTTCAATTTAACACTGAAGAATAGTTTCAAAAACTGGTTGAACAATTCACATATTATTAAAAAGATTTTTTTCTTCTAAATTTGTCTCGAGACATGCCTTGAAATCAGTTCATGAAAAAAAAACTGTTCGAAATGATTTCTACCGATTGTTCATTGAGTCCAGTAGCTCTTTCAACTTTCCATCATCTGCACCCTCCTCCACATTTCCTTCCATCTCCTGCGGACTCTCCTCTATTTCTCCGCCCCTTTCCCCTGTAGGCGTAGTTCTTCCTTGAGAAAGGGGTGTGGTCGGGCCAGGAGTTACTGCTACTTTCTTAGAAGCTACTGTTTCATTAGCAGCTGTGGTTGTTTTATTAGTTGGAGGACGGTTAGCAGGAGTGAGTTTGTCACTAGTGATGCTCCTCTGGAATATGTCTGTGAACCAGGGTAGACTGAACTGGTACATGACGTCTATCTGGCTCAAGTCAGCCAGAACAAAGTACAGAATGGCTGCTCTCTTAGCCACCTAAATTGATCAGCAAAACTCAAATTTTTAACAAGACTGACCAAATCAGGACCAAACTATGAATGGTTCAACTGTCCTAAAGGTATCTTAAGTTATTTTGGGTTAAAATGATATCTATTTAACAATTAAAAGTTTTCAAAGTGTTATCTGGGACAATTTTCAAGCCTTAATTCATTTTGGAACGTCTCCTGAGCCGGATTAATTTGCCGCTCCGGCTATGCGTTTATATGAAACTGGCAAAGAGAGCGCTTATTTATTACTTTCAGAAATTCCAAATCATCAAAAGTTTTCATAAAATAATCGCAGGTGATCTCTTGGTATATCTTGGAACATTCAGAAAACGCTCAGCCTTCAGAAAAAGCTCCTGCAGCAGTGGCAAGCCGAGGGTACGACCGCCCCCTCAATTCTGATTGCCAAATTTTTCCAAAGGGCTCCTCTATTGGTATTATTTTACGACACCCAATTGTGGTTCACTAACCTCAAAATTTTTCTAAAGGTGCCGTGGGCGCCAATATAACTAAATTTGAGGGGGGAGCGCGCGCTTTTTTTGGTCAAAACATTCAAAAATTTGTCTGCGACGCACAAATGTTTGACAAAATGTTCTTTATATGGTTTCAGGGAACCGCAAAAAATCAAATTTAATAATATTTTTCGAAAACCCCCTTTTACTTTAGAAAAAGTGCGGCGCAAGCAACTGAACATGGTCAATGTAACTTTTCTTTTTTGAAAGTTTTAATGAACTCAAAAAATTAAACAAGACTGCTCGTATCAGGGCGAAGCCCTGCAAGTTCCGACTGCCTTTTAATGTCTATGAAGCAGTAATAACATAAGAAATTTGAACGGATTAAAACAAAATTATTATTTTTTTTAGATTCCGAACTTTTGTAAAAACATCCCCCAAACGCCATAATCTTTAAACCCCCATAACTTTACGAAAAAAGATTACAATTTAAATGCGTTTTCAAATTTAAGCTCAGGACAACAAACAATAATACCTTTTGAATGATATTTAAAAAAATCCGTCAAAAATGGCTAGTTAGAAAGCAGAAATGTGTCTGAAGAAAAAAAACCCACCCCGAGCACAAATATTCCGTTACTTTCGTTACGAAAATCGGAACAAAAACTACTGATTTTTTTGAACTTTCGAGTTTTATTTCATGAAACGTAAGCGCTCAACACTCAAGAAACGACAGAGTCAATTGGAGAAAACCATATAAAAAAGTCTATTTATTTATTTGAAAAACATCAGCTAGGGGTTCTGATTAACTCTTAAAATAAAATAAAAACACTTTTTGCGGTCCATTTCTACTTTTTAATGACGATTTATCCACAAGGGAAAAGACCATTAATGATCTGTTCAGCTCTTCTTGGAGAATAGCTGTGGCGCCTTTGCTTATGAATATGTGGTTTTTTGGTTATTTTTCTGGGCTGGACAATATTGCCTCACCCTGAAGCAACGAGCACGGAACAGTGGGCATCAAATATCCGACTTTTCGACTGCGAGGCAAAAACATGACCATTTATTACCGGTCACCAAACAAAGAGCGTCATTTGAGGATCAAAATGTAAAATTGATCTGAAACAGCAAGTTCCAGAGTTATCATAGGCCAAACCGACAATATATATGAACATGAGCCAGTTAAAACTTTCAGTTTTAAGAAATCGCCCAAATAAATTATGAAAAAACTCTATTCGTTTCATGCTCAATGCGCATTTGATTTTTGAAAAATCTTTAACTTGATGTCTAATTAATTACATGAACCAAATCTGAATAACACACAGCGTTGACTTCAAAATAAAGCCAAAATCAGCTGACGTCCTTTCACCTCTAGATGACCTCATTTGGAATTTGGACTGCCACTTGTGTATTTGTAAACGGGTCATTGGAACTCTTCAAAGGTTGGAACACCCCCAGACCAAGCTTAATACTTTGATCTTTGATCCTTATTCAATAATTTGTAGCAGCAGCAATCTGTTACCTTTTCGACCTCTTTTTGAATTTAACATCTAGCATAGCGACCGTAATAAATCACCTTTTAATTTTTTAAAATCATTAGTTTTGCGAACAAACTTGCAGTGTTTCAAGGAAATAAATTGAATGTTTTGTTCAAACCAAAGAGAGCATCACATCAGATCAGGTCGTTTGCTTACTCGAAGGACCGAATGCGCAAAATTTTGCCAACCAATCAGAGCTCAAATTTCAAAAATTCGAAAGAAATAAGTGATATATTCAGTTAGTTTTGGTCAGTTTGAAGGGTATTGATTTGTTGAGAATTTTCAGGCATTTGGTTCTTCGCCCATGAGCATAGCCCCGATTGTTAACTCATACCCTCACACGCAAACAGTTTTTATTTAGATCGCGAATTAGCCATAACTCACAGGTAGGTACTGGTCTCGCACAGTTTGGATATTCTCGGCAGTCACTTTTGATATCTCTATTCTCTCTTTGATCTCTGCCGATATCACCTTACTCCTCTGAAGGGTCTCCACCAGGTCCTATGAGTAACATATGATCAAAAGCATAATTCATTGAAAATGAAACTGCAACCTCTAAGTAGTTATCTGAAGCAGATTAGCCAGTAGCCCTGCAAATGAAAGATAATAACAACTTTTGAAAATATGTCCAACTCTTTCTTACATAAATATTGTAGAAAAAATGTGATATGAATTTCTCGTTGGTGTGTTACAAATACACAAATGACGCAAAAACAGGCAGTGCACAAAATTAGTGTAGTTTATAATATATATTATCAAAAATGTACGCACCCTAGATGAACCTAAATTCTTTCCAACATACTTTTCCACAAGTCATTTGGCCTAAGATCTTCTTGATTTTTCAAGCAAAAATTCTTTGGGTTTTATCTTAGTTGTTGTACTACTTGTAGAATCAATATCAATTATGTATTTGAATGGGATGTTGTGTAGCAGATTGCTTTTCCGAATAACACATTCGGCAAGTTTCTTACTGTGAGAGCTTTTGATGCAGAAGAGCTTCTCAGATTGAGGATGATCATAAAATTCTGAACTTGGTAAGAATAGACTCTTTTCCAGATTGAAAGCGGGTTTTCCCTGAGACATAATTTGTTTACAAAAAATTAAAATTCTACACTCAAGAAGGAACCTAATTGGTAAAATGCCAGCTTTCGCTTTGAGTAAGAAGAATCAAAATTGGGTTTCTAAACGCAGGCTTTGACGGCCCAACTTAGTTGTTTTTCAAGTGTTATGATAATTTTTGATCTATTGTAACAAGGATCACCGCCGAACATTGCAGATGATTTAAGACCAGGGCATTGATAAGCATGGTTTTCATTTTGTTTGGTATCTGACGGTATATAGGGCTTTATTACCCTGTGCCATTTTCAATAGTAACTGCTTGATGTATTCATGATATGTAAGATTGTTATTAATAAATCCACCTAAACAATTTATTTTCTTTTTTTTTCTTCTATTTGTTTTCCATCAACCTGGAGCTATTGTTTTTTTTTGAATCTTTGTTTTTGTTACCAAATATTATTTTGTTAATTTTTAGATTGTTAAAACAACAAACATTTGGTAAGTTGCTAGCTGACTTTTCAAGTTTTTTAATGCATAGTTCTAAATTTGTTCCACTCAAGAATAAAATTGTATCAAAGTATAATCGTGTTGTATAATCTGACAATCTGAGGTGGTTTCCATATCGGTAACGTATAAGTTAAAAAGAAGAGGACCTAAAATGGTTCATTGCCGCACTCCTCTAATTAATACAATCCAGTCGGATTCAGTTCCTGTTATCACCACGTTTTGATACCTATTAAATAAGTAGCTATTTATAAGAGCAAGTGAATACATCTCGAAACCTATTTTTTGTAGTTTGTTAATGAAAAATTGATGATCTATTGAATCAAAGGCTTTCGATAAAACTAGTATTGCGGCTGTTACAAAGTCATCTTAATCAACATTAGCTCGTGCTGTTTCAGTCAATTATACAAAACCATTCATGGTTGAACACTTTTTCCTGAAATCGAAATGAGTTGGAGTACGAAAATTATTAGAAATAAGAAATTCCGCAATTTGAAATTCGATTTATTTTTCAATAACTTTTGAACTTTTGACATGACCGGAGTAATTAAAAGTGGTCAGTAATTAAGTGGATCTTCAATGCATCCCTTCTTCACAGTAAAGGGAAACTGTTCGCCAAATTAAGCTGATGTGGACAAATGTTTGTTTTCAAGCATTCCTTGATTAAAAACGTACTGGTTTTCAAGACTATTTAACAGACTATTTAAGAAGTTTACAACAATTAGGCTTTAGATGACCTCCAAGGTTAATGACCTCCTATATTAATGACCTCCAATAGTTTTATCTTCAATAACCTTTTCAAAAGTTAGCAAAAATACAGCTTGTTACGGTAAGTCGCTAGCAAGTTTTTTATACCTCGTGAATGAATAATAGTGCTAGCTCAGCAATACTAGCCTGTTGATCTAGAAGATGTCCTTCGCTGCTCTGGAGGAGACGCAAAGATTTGCGCTGCAGTTCCCGGATGGTCTCTGTGTCACGTGCCAAGGATTCCAAATTGTCACGCTTCTGCTCTTCAAGGAGAGGCTTTTCCTGTAAACAAAATGAACATAGCATGACAAAGGGCAAGAAAGATCGCTTTTATTTATCTAATAGAAAACTACGCTTCGCTTCAAATTTGGATTGTTTGTTTTGTGCTCATAACTAAACCAAGCTAGTAAAAAATGAGTATTTTTCCAGCTGAATGTAACCAGTTTTGGCATTATTTTCAAAATCCTTTTTTACAAAATCCTCATTTTGTGGAAAGCTGCGAAAGAGGAGTAGATTTTCAGCAAGGAATGAGTTTTTTGTATTCTTGAATTTTTTATTGATATTTGAAAGTTTTACCTGTTGAACTACAGTTGCCAACAACTGGTCCTGCAGCCCATCAAATGTGACCATGAAGTTGACTAAGTTGACCTTGATACAGACAGTTGGCAAATAGTGTGGGTTGGAGATAGCAGTCACCATGTACAGCATGAAGTTGTCATTGAATTCAACCTCACGGTCGCCTTAAACAAGCAAAACGATGCAATTAGTTTCGAAGAAAAGGGTCAATAAATCCTAACTGTTAAAAGCTGATGATGACTGCATACGCAATACCAAACAAAATTAGTCTTCATTGGTAAATACACATGAATTTGTTTGATTAAAGGCATATATCTCCCCCAACGAATTGAGGTCCAAGGTAGCAACAAGGTGGCAGAACTGGGGCTAAAAATAATAAAAACCAGGTTTAACCAAATTTCAATGATTTGCTTTTAGTCTTTTAAGCAAAGAGTTAAAATTGTTCAGTAATGATGTTTCAGTAAAAATTTGAATTGCCCAAAAATTGCGAAACATTAGCTTTTTACCAATTCAACTATCGATTTTTTCAATTAAAATAAAACATATCCTCTTAAATCCTTCGAAATAAAACTAAGATTATCTATTTAAATAAATGGTAGCTACTCACCTAGGGTCACGACCTCTTGACCTCCAACAGTCGCAGTTTGTTTCAAAAGAACAGGGGTCAGCCCGGGGTCAACATCCTCTAAGAAACCCTCAATCAAAAGCGGGTCCCCAACTCTCAGCGCGTTTTCCAGAGTTCTCAGCATATTTGGGTCGTTTAATTTAGTCTTCTTCAGCTTGTGACCTGCCATTTGGGAGATCCATTTGACAGCTTGACCTTGGGGATCAATTATGAGGGGGTAGTGGTAGTTTTTCTTGATTATGAGGGCGTTGTCTGTTGAGTGCGCGTCTTTGGGCAGTCCTTCACTGTAGAGCTTCAACACCTGGAAAAAGCACCGATTCGCCCATTTTCTACCCCCGCCCCCTCTGCATGGAAAAATTCGATTGTAAAACCTTGAAGGAACTTGAGAAAAAAGAACCCAGCGATCTAATAAGGCTGCATTCGAACACCTGACTTTAAATAGAACGGTAGAGTAAAAAAAATAAAAAACAAATAATCTCAATTAAATAACGGGTATGTAGATTTCTTACTATGTCTGTTGCAACAAAGATGTTAACTGCGGTCAAAATAAAATTTAATAATTTTTAAGGTCTTGTTTTTACAACGTCAAAATTTTTGTGTTTACCTCGTGAGGTTGCGACAGTCCAAGTGTCAAGGTCACTCCCTCGGTCAGTTTGATCCCATTCGCAACACATGCTGATTTGTACGACGTTATCAATTCATCCCGGATGCCAGCTGTGAATGCTCCGTTGAAGGCCACTCCTGCGGCACAGACAAGAGCGTCTCCGGCTACGAAGTCAAGGAGGTGTTCGAACTCTGCGATCGAAGTAATCCAACGATCCTGAAAGATTGCAATGATTCTTATCGCAGTAACTACGTCACTAATTTTGAATTAATGGGTTGATTGAGAGGATGAAACTCAAATATGCAGACGAAAGAATTTGTAAACCAGTTTTGAAAACATTGACATTCATCCATTCCTTCTGATCTCTGTGTTCATTCATACATTCATTCATTCGTTCGTTCAATCATTCTTTAACTAATTTATTCATTCCTTCACTCACTCATTCATTCATTCATTCCTTCATTCATTCATTCATTCATTCATTCATTCATTCACTCATTCATTCATTCACTGACCTTCTCGCCAGCCAGTGCGTCTGTGAGAAGTGATGCTCTGGCTATTCTCTTATGTGACAGCACTTTCTCCAGCTTCAAGTTCTCCACCTTCTCCACCATGCCCTTGTACGCATCCTCCAACAGCTTCATGTGGTCCTGGATCTACAACACAACACCTTACACAGCGTGATCGCTTATGCTGTTTCCAAATGTAAATTGGCTATGTAAGGTTGCTATCATAGTTTAGCTTTTATAGTAAAGCAGTCTTATAGGGGGTAGATAACGAGATCAGCTAATGTACACAAAAGCTACCTTTTAAATTGGAATATTAATTTAAATAATAAAAAAATAATCATAAAAAAACTTACAAAAATTTAAATTTTTTAATGGCTCCTTTCGATCCCCTGCATTTAAACGCTCCCAATTTTATAGCTGTTTTAGTTGTCATAACGGCTAAATGCGTAAGGTTGCGATCTAAAGTATGAAAGACAAATCTAATCATAAAACACGAAGGCGGAGTTGCACTTCGCATACACAAGAAAAAATATGACCAATAACACTACTGGGAAAAACTGAATGCATAACTTTGAGTCTACATATTTTCTAAGGTGACGCACTCCAATTTTGAGCCTACATCATTGTTAAGTGACTCAGGCCAATTATGAAGCACTAGCAGTACCAGTCAATTTGAAAAAAGAAGATTAACAACCAACATGCTTCAAATTATAGAGCGGACGCATTTTAACTAGCATACGAAAAAAAATGATTAAAATTATCCGCCCCTGCCCAGGTTCGAACCCTCTTATTTTGTTGTGGGTCTCCTTCCCTACCTCTACGCTAAAGATCCATGACACCTTGAAACTAAAGAGCTACTTGTAATTTAATAGTCTAATTTATTATCCTTAGCATTGGCTTTACTTAATAGCTGGTTATTATTCCGACTTTTGAAACTAAAGTAAGGGAATATTTGTGCTCGGTGTGGTTTTTTTTTCTTCAGACAAACTTCGACTTTTTAACTAGCCATTTTGACAAATCTTTTTTTATCATTCAAAAGGTATTCTTGTCTTGAGCTTAAATTTGAAGATATTTTACCTGTGATCATTTTTCGTAAGGTTATGGGGGTTTAAAGATTGCCAATAGGCCAATTTGGAACAATTAATGCGCGATATATTTCGCGCTATTAACGCGTCAGCGGTGATTTAATCTGTCATAGAAATCGTTCCAAATTGGTTGAAGGAAGCTTATACGCCATAATTGATTTGTTACAAGGAGCGAAATCTATCACTTCGTACTTTATGTAGCGTGTGGGGTGATGATTTCCACAAAAAACCTCAAATTAAAAAAAATCGTTTTACTTTAATACAATTAATTTTTTCCTATTATTACTGCTCCTTAGACCTTAAAAGGCAGTTGGAACATTCAGGGCTTCGCCCTGATACAAGCAGTCTTGTTGATTTTATGCACTTACTGCAAAAAAAGAACACTTTCAAAATGAACCGTAATATTTAGGACTTAGATTGGGAAAAGAAGAGAGTTCATACTATCACACAAGCTTTGTACTAAAGATTGTTTGTTCACCAAAAAATGTATCAAGGCATTTTGGCAATGTTCAATTAGTTGAAACTGAATTCAAATGAAGCGACAAGGTAGAAAAAGGCCACTTTTAAACTAATGTTTTTAATTTTCTTCCATCTTTACTTCAATTTTGTTTCCCACCCGACCTTTAATAGCTTCCAGAATATATCTTTTATTAATCTGGTATCGCCAAGAGTGCTTTGTTATTGTTTCGTCTATTATCGTAGATCGGAAGGAACTGGATTCTGGTCGTTTTATATCGCCCGATTTTAATTCTACCAGAATTTTAAAGCTATTGTTCTTCTTTTTTTAACGCTGAATATCAAATTACAGTTTTTCAACATCGATTCGGAAACACACTTTTAGTAAACTACTTCTTTAATTCCAAATGTATGTCCGTACCAGTTTGAGTGACTTCTGTTTCCTCTGGAGGTTCTTCTCAGCCAGAGCCAGAGCCTCCTTGGCCTCTTGCACTCTCGCCTGTTTAGGCTCCACCATCTGAACACGTCACAGAAATTAGTCGTCATATTATTCAGTCACGCAATGAGGAAAAAAATTATCCTTAAATTATTCTACTCCGAATTGAGGAAACGCAATGAGGAAAAAAATGGTCGACAAATTTTTTCAGAAAAATTGTTGAAAATCCGCCCCCCTCGAGAAAATCCAGTCACTTTGGATGAGTAATAGGACTACCGTTTTTTGATACCAGAGAAGTTCAAACACAATTGCATTTCACACAAATTGCACTTCTCCCTACAAAAGATGAAATGTTTGAAATTTTCCGCCATCTGTGAAACAAAATTAGATTGTACTCAGTCTTACTGATTCAAGCTAAATTCCCAAGTAAAATTCTTTAGACAAAAGAGTAATTCTTCAAAAAAAAATTAGGAATATTTAGTTCTGTTTCCGTTTGTTTTGTTCAAAGTTAATTTTTAGTCCCAAAAAAAACCTTTTGAACACGTCACAAATGGTTTAATTCAAAATTTGTTTCATGGTTCTAATTAATTGTATGTACTACTCACCTTAATGACTTTGTAGTGTCTCTCCATGGCCAACACCCAGTTGCAAATGGACATACACGCCAAAGATACTTTCTTAACGTTCTCAGGGTTGAAATCCACACTACGAGTGTACTTCTCCAGGTTTTTGAACACCTGAAACGGGTAATGTTAAGTTCAAACAGCGAAACAACGTTTTAAATATCGACCTTAACCGGATTGATTCATTTCAAAATTCATGTTATTCATTAAATTTTCAAACAAATGACTCTCCCTGAAACACATGGTTGTTGCAGGAAGAGATTGCGGACTTAAAAACCAAACAAAAACGAGCAAAAAAATATTAAGGTAAATGGAGTTTGATATTGGTGGTAAGACAAAGGATTCAAAAATGGAATTGCATTCCCAATAATCGCGGTAAATTGAAACTATAAAGAATATATATCAGGCAAAACTGAAAGTTTTTACAAAAAAGAAGACTTCAATTGATTATGCCAAACTTGTCAGCGAGCCGATTTCTAAAAACAATTTACACACAAAAAAGTCGTAATGATCTTGTAAAACTTGTGTATAGGTTTTCATTTATTATGTATAGATTTCTGAAGACTATTACGATGAAATGGTTGATTTAAACTATATTTACTCTTACGATAAGCAAAGTTATTGCAACCGGGTACTAGATTTTTCCTTTTTCCTGTAAAGAAGTTCCGCTTATTTATGGCTCGCAATTTCTTTCGGTTTTTTCTTTCTATCAGAGATTGATTTGTTCGAAACTTCATTCGCAACGTTTTGAATGGCATGTTGCATTAATCTTAACTTTTTTGTGAAGAAAATTAAAATCATGATTTAAGAGCAAATTACTTGATATAACAATTTGATCAGTTAACCATCAACTGTTTTTTTTATTATGGTCAAAGAGGTTTGTAGCCTATATTAAAAGCAAAAATAGTCGTTTTAAGGTAATTTGTGTCTGTTGTTTTTTTTCCGCTGCAAAGCATCTAGTTATTTTTTTCATCGCAGTTTGTTCGGATTTATTGTTTTTTTTGCGTCTTAATTCTCCTTATAAATAAGAAACATGTTTGTTATTAAGTTCAAGGTAATGGCACATTTTCTGAAAAATTGCTAAAAAAAATACTCGCTCAGAAATTACAAGTTTCGTTGTAAATTCTATATTTTTTAATTTAATCTATTTTCTGACTACTCTGTATTGGTTTAATTTGTCAGCATACTTTTCAACAAGCGTTTTTCGCATTGTTTCAGATATTTTTAAAAATAAAGAACACTATATCTATATTTATAATACTGCTGGTAACTGTGTAGCAAGCTTTTGTTTTTTTCTGCTTTTGTTCTTTTTCAGCTTTTATTTTTTTTGCATTATAGGTTTTTTCAGCTGAAATGATTTCGGCAGGCATGTTTTATTGGTTTTAGTTGCCCTATATTACGTCATTAAAAAAAACAAGGTTTACATGCGTTTACGTGCCTCGGGAAAGACATAAAAGTTGGGATTTTACAAATTATTATATCATTAAAGTTTTTTTGACAAATGATTCCCGGCTTGACAGGCGTCTACCAAATTTTTGTCTGCAAAATTACCATTCAATTAGATTTGTCTTAATGCTAGAAATTGTGTTTCGCGACAGGTTTTTGTCGAATTGTTTTTTTTTACACAGCGCCGAAGCTGCGCATCGCAATCAATTGCGAGAACACGACCAAAAAGCAGCTCTATTAGGTGAAATAAGAAGAAGTAGAAAAAAGACTCGAATTATCAAAAACTCGGCTAGGTGTAGGATTCCATCTGCGACCTACTGCAATCAAGAGATTTTGAGTCTCACGCACTATCCAATCAGCCACGCAAGCTTAACAATCGACAAAGACTAATCACGAATATAGCAGCTACATATGCAAATAAATTGCCAATGCCATTCAGCAAAAGTGGCCCTAAATACAAATAGACTCAATTTTGCAAGTAATAATTTGGATTATAACAAAGGCATCCACACAAACTTTGCATGTAACAAATCGCAAAGCATAAGGCCACATTATGAAACAATTATGCAGTTCAAAAACTTGCAAGATATACTGAGTTTGAAAATTTCTGAAATCGAGCTTTCATGGTTGTTATATTGTTTGAAACAAATCACTTCTTTCAGTTCATTTGATGAATTAAAACTGCATCGACTGTGTTAACTTATTACTATTCGAATGTCACAGCCCATGCTATAAAAACGCTGTAAAGGTGCCCAAAAAAGTGGCACCAATATGTGGGAATTAGGTTGGAAAAAAAGAAGGTTCGTACTAAAACACTCGCTTCGCATGTGTACAGACCTATGATTATATTTGGGCGGTATATTGCATCAAAAAAAAAAAAATCGACGGGTCGCTTTCGGTTAGCTCTGCCATTCTCTGTTAATATTGTACCGGAAATGGTGCAAAACTCTGCTTCGCCTCTGTGTTTCATTGATTTTTTCGGCAACATGCTAGGTAACCTAAGGCTTAATTGATTGAAATTACTTGTTTGCAAAAACATTTCGATTAAGAAGATCTCAAAACGTGGGTACTTTGTCTGGTAGTTTATTGCTGTCGAGTTTCACTAGCTGGTCAACAAATCCAGGGTCGCCCAGGAGCAGTTTGGCAGTAGGCCAGTTGGGTGATTTTTGCAACAGACAGCACACCGCACTCATGACCTGAAAAAAAAAGAGAACATTGAAATTTTTTTTGCAATTTCAACAATTGTTTAAGAACGTAATACACGTGGTCACTTTGAAAAAGCATGGTTTGAATCGTGTTTCACTGCACTAAAACAATGGAGCAAAAAAGCCAAAAAAAAATTTAGGCGAAACTCAGCATTAAATAGCAAAAGCATGAATTTTTCCATTTTAGCCGCGTAATTCAAACCCAGATGGAAAATTTCAAAAAAGATCATGAGGATCTAAGCCAATGACACACTGTGCAATCAGCCATTGTCATTTTTGAATATAATCGCGAAAGAATCCATTTTCAGTTTCCATCGAAACCATGGCAAACCCGCCATCTTATTTGAGCTACCAACAAGTAATGATGTTCTTGATTTGCCCCCTTCCCCAACCTTTTTTTTGCTTTCTTGGGACTTGCTTCAACGAGGGGAGGGTTTCGAACTCACGGCCTTCGTATAGAAGGCCGCGCGTTTTACCCACTCGGCCACGGCCACTCCGTAATAATACACTGACCTTAAGGACTAGTACGGGTGGTGCGTTGTACACTCTGACTTCCGATATATCTGTCTTGTTCAGCTGGTCCAGAGATCGGATAGCATTCTGCAACACTGGCTCCACCGCATCAAGTTCAGTCTTAGCTTGCTGCAACGAAAATAAAGCATTGATGATTCAGATTGCAATTTGGGTTTTATTTTTAAGCAATTTGGACTTCAGGCTATCATACTTAGAAACGTTTCCAATCCGCCCTAAGTTGAAAAAAAAATGCAGTGGCTTTAAGTCACAGTGTTTTAAATCACCGCGGTTTTAAATTGCAGTGGTTTTAAGTCGGCAGATTACAGCAGTTATCCACTCTTGTTTTAAAAAAGTACAGTAACAGTCAGGAACCTTCAATTAAATTCTTTTTCAATTCAGTTCACTCGAGCCTAGAGGTCACTAACAATTATTTGAAAGCTGTCAAGAAAACTATCACAGGATATTATCTAAAATAATCAAATTGTTTGTTGATTTATGATAAATTACAAGAAAAATAGCCAAAAAACTGTTATAAAAAACTGAACTCATAAAAAAAAACCTCAAAGGGAGCTTTTGAATTAACTTTGAACTAAAAAATAATTGTACCAGGTCAAAACCCGGAACGCCCCGACGGCCCTTAAAGGTATCTGGAAAATTTCGCTCAACCAAAAAATCGGTGATGTTTTCAAAAAAAAAAGCTTACGCAAATGTAAAGTACAAAATGGCATTGCATCTACCAACCAAATATGTGAAGTAGCTATCAGTGCCTTAATTCAATTTGGGGGTGAAAGCGGAGCCAGAATAATTCGCCACTTGCTCTCAAAAGAAAACTGTCGAAATAGGGCTACCTAATTATTCAAAGCTGTCATTTTCACAACCGTACATCTTTGTGAAAAAAGATCCCAAGTGGGATATCTTTTATGGATTGGTACTTAGGACGTCGTCTAGAGGGCATAGATATTTTGAGACAAACTTTAAAAAAAATTAAAATTGCCGGTTTAGCAAATTAAATCATAGCATCAGTATACACTTTCTAGGCATTTTAGATTTACAATTTAAACATGCACATATTTGAGACAAATGGGTCATCGTTAGTTTTGATTCATTTGGAAAATCAAAAGATTACATGCATATTTGCAGCTAAAAATGGAGAACGAATTTTCATGCTTTGGAACTATGCTCAAAAAGAAAATAAGTAAAAAAATGTGACTAAAAAATGAATAACTCTTTTAGAAGTACATAACGCAAAGTGCACTTGAAGGTATTGCCTGCACTTCTGTCTCACTCAAACATTCATTTTTTGCAAAACTTTTAAACGAAATTTCTGAAACTTTGCAAAGAAATCGTTGTCTCAAAAATATCTTAAGCTTATCGTCTAGATAAAAACGCGATGAACTACAGTCAAGATGCAATTGAGGCAAAGCTCACATAGGTGCTGAAACATCCCGCACATCATTCTCTCTTGACAAAAAAAAACAAGCCAACAGACAGTTCGAAACGAGTCAATGAACGCAAGTGAACAGAAAAAAAACACTGTTTTTTTTTGAAAAAATCGCAACTTTCGAATTTCAGAGAAAAAAATAGACACCCTTAAAGCGCTCTGAATTTCTGGAACAATTTATGATTGGCACGTTTTTGATACAACCAAATTATTTTGAGAAAACTTGATCAATAAGTAATTTTTTTTATTTCGCTGGGATCCATTTGAAAGCTAAGATCCATCCCTATAATAAAAAGAGATCGCATATGAAATATCTTTTTTAATATTCAACTCATAGGGTCGACAATTTTCAAATTATCTAAAAAATTATGTAAAAAACGGTTGATTAAAAAATCGAAATTTGCTAGAGGAAAAATCCTGCTTTAATTAATATGCTCAGCAAAGATTGTAATTTAACGCCCACTGATATACTTATACTGCAAAAATCTGAAGTTACAGATATGCAACTAACTTTGGAAAAAAACGAACTATGACACAAGTTTTTGACTTCAAATTGAAGCTCTTCCAGCCGTGTTTTGGTCAGAGTTTTAGAAAAAACATATGTCACTCTTGGTTTTGCCAAACAACTTATTATTTTCGATTTTAAACAGACTGAAAAATGTTTTATTTAACTGCAACTTAAATTTTCATAATATTGCTGAGTTAGATTACGTATAGAATATTTCAAACGGGGAATGTGTGAGACATCGATTTTTGAGGAAGCCAATGAACTACTACTGTAGTATTGGAAATGCTACACTAATATAAAAAGCTCTTGTTTTAATTGTTTCCATAAGATCCGAGTGGACTTTTTTGTATTCTAAATTCGTTCACACCTCAAGATAAGAATGCCTTTTAACTTAGATTTTGATTCAGATTCCAACTGAACAACTTAACATAAAACTTTTAAAGTCAAAACCAAATACCTAACTTTTCGAATACTGAACGGTTTTTTTTATTCTTTCACTTTTATTAACCTTGGAAAAAGGCAAAGATTTTTGATAAATTTTAACGGATGATGGAGGGAACTGAGTATTTATCCATGACGCCAGTCAGGCGGAGTATGTCTATTGTTTTGCCTTTGAAAATAGATGAATCCCCCGCTGATCTGAATTTTAAAAAAACTAAAGCAGGTGGAAATATTGTGAGTTCCCCCAGTTAAACTAAATATTGATTTTTTAATATGAAAAAAAATCAACAAAATGCAAAGGTCAGTCTCCTGATCAAACGGAGGAAAAGAGATCAAAAGAGGACTGAAGTCTAATAGCAGGTGCAGGGAAAACCAAATTAAAATTGTTTCGGATGAGCCTGCCTGCATTTTTCAGCTACTCTAATTTCTTACGCTCAACCAGACGGCTAAAATATTTTCAATTTTCTTCTACTTCTTTTTTTAAATAAAACTTAAATTCTCTTATAGTAATATTCACTTTCAATAGAGTCACTCAAAACTTAAACAAGTTCAAGTAAAGAAATTTCTTAAGTTAAATTCAACGGACTGAAACCAAAACGAAGTGCAGCCACCCTAGCATCGGACAATACCTCAACCGACAGTGAGCTTTAGACAGTGTACCCTTTTCCGGCAAGAATTGGACAACAACTTCTTCCCACCTTCTCTCCGCTACTTTCCAACAAATATTGTAAGAAATAAAAGCGATAAGTTAATAAAATAAACATCCCCTTCTATTGTTAAAAGTTAACAAGAGATGAACAGTTGTGCATAATATTTAACCTTTTCTATTTAATCATCCTTTTTTTAGTTTATCTGTTTATATAACTATCAATTAAACTCTAGGATCAGATCGACTATGATCTATGATATAATTTAACCGAGACCTACAATGTTAGTTACTAATTAAAACAAAGGGATCTATCAATCGACACCAACTTTCTCTTAGTAAACTACACTCTTTCGACAATTTGTCTTAATCTTGAAGCTTCTTATTAGAAACATTACTTCAAAAAGCTTCGACGAAAGTATAAATTTTTTTTCACGAAAGTGTAATTGTTCAAAAGTTAAGAGCGAACAATTTACCTGGTTGTTGTGCAGGACGCGCAGAATGTGTTGACCATGGAGAGCATTGCAAAAGTTTGAATAAAGTTTAGTTTTCAAAGTTTTGCGATGCTCTTCATGGTCAACAAATTCTGCGCGTGCTGCACAACAACCAGGTAAATTGTTTATTCTAAACTTTTTTGTTTGGAAAGACGAAACTTTCTCTGAAGCGATTTTAGGAAAAATTGGAGGCAAAATAGTTGCAAAATCCCCTTTACATTGCAACATGATTGGTACATTTCTCATTTTGGCTAGCCGATCATATTTGTGCTCGTTAATTATAGTTGACATTCATGCAAGGCAACCTACGCTGTTTTCTAAAGTGTCGACCATGAGTTAAAATTATACAATTGGATGCGTTCACTATAAAATGTTTAAAATTTTGCACTAAAAATAGAAGTACCGGTCACTTATTATGTTTAATTAGAACGCACCCAAAATACAATAAGAACTATCGATAGTAGTGTAACTTGCAATTTTCAGGAAAAAACCAAATAGTAAATTTTTTTGCAAAAATAATTGGATTTTTTAATCAAAAATGGGTTAGAACAACTGAACTTATGACATTTGAAGCACCTTCTAAGAGCCTTAAATTGAAAAAAAAACAAGATTTCGTCTCCTTACTCCAATAATTGAGTCTCGTGATAGAAATGTCAGTTCACGTGAAGACAAACTAAACCCTATTTCCATTCTATTCCCAGCATTCAAGTAATATATTCATACCAACTTCCAGCAGGGGACAGAAAAGTCTGATTCCTACGCTAACAAACGACGCAGACAGTCGATATTATACCTCCAGACTACTTGTCAATAAATACGTCGACAGTTTTTTCAACCGAATCCTAAAACATTAGACAGACACAATGGTACAAAAAACTTCCTTAAAAAACATTGGTCAAAATTACTCTGTGAAAATCCAAAACGCCAAAAAAACATTACAATTGAATGTTCTATAAATTTATTTGAATTTGTGTAATAACTTTTGTTTAAAAAAAAATACTTTAAATGTTTTGTATCGCGCAATTTTGATCGAATTTGATTTTTCATGGGCGACTTCAGATAAGCAACGCAAATGGCCTAAAATCTCAAACATTTTTTCGAAAAGCTTCCGTCAAAAAAGTCCTGTTCTCGTCACTAATGCTCTCATAAAAATTCTTGTTCACGTCACTAAATTTAGGAATCGGCTTACTTTTTTAGTCTGCTTCAAACGATACTTTGTTTTTCGCTGCTTTTAGCCATAAGAAGAGAATTCTCAATAGAAAAAAAACTCCATAGCGGAAATACATGCTTTATATTGGTATAAAAAAACTGACTATTTTTGCGACCAGATTTTTTTTTACTTCAGTGCATACGCTAGCTCAGCCACAATAAGAAGTGTAACACAGCAAGACAGGCTTACCGTATTTGTATAGAGATAAAATATACAATTGCGGCTTCAAAAAAAAACAGTAAGACGCAGTTTAAAATGGTAATTTTTCATTCTACTAAAAATACCAGCTTGAGCTTGTTACATTGTGGTTGATTTTGGTAGCTAATTCATTATTTTACGTCAACATTATAACAGCCAATAAGAACAGAATACAACGAAGGTGTGCGTTCAGCTATCTCAAATATCAATATTACCAAAATTGACTTGTCAAATAACTTGGATTGAGTATTCTCCAAGCGGAAATCTCAACAAATTTGAACATATTTATACGAATTCCAACTTTTAGTTTACCCAGCCACGACTGTACATGGAACAGAACTTGGGGTTTCATATATAGTTTATAAGTTATTTTTACAGAAAAAGGCGTTTATATTTGACAAAAGTCTTACTAGACGGACAAATCCAAAAGGTCGAAAAACTTCAATGCTTTTAGAAATTTACCCAAAGTATTATACGAATTTAGTTCTAAATTAGGCCAAAATTATCAGTTTTTTATAGCAGTTTCTTAAATCTTTTATCTTTATCTTCACTGAAGCTACAGCTATCTAAAATATCCAAATTTAGTTGAGTTTTCAAAGATTACAGTAAGTTTATTTGCCAAAAAGTAAAATCGATTGCCTAAAAAGTCAAAGTTTATTCAAATTCCCATATTCATCTCATTCTTGAATATCGACAGTCGAAAGTCCAATTATTACGCAACTCAAAGACAACTTCTGCTTATCTCGTGAAAACGGCCCGAAAACCACCGCCCGCCAAACATAAACCTACAGCAACGACGCATATACCATTTCATTTCACCACCAAAATAGCCTTGCTTGGTGTTGTAACATTTCAGCTGTTATATTTGCTTTCGTTAGAATCATCGCGCGATATAAAAGTCAAAACCAAATTTCAGAACCACTCGTTTTCATTTAGTTTCTTTGTAAACTCGAAAATCAACCTTCTGAAATAAACAGAAGATTCTTCATTTAAATTTTCAAGATTGTCTGATAACATTTTATTTTTTACTCTTTTTCCACTATGGAGTGGACAAACATCACTTATAGGAACAGAATTGTCCAGAATTTGTCTGGAAATGTTCGGAGAGGGGAATTCGTGGCAGTCATGGGACCCAGCGGATCTGGAAAGACATACACGCTGGATATTTTGTCCGGACGCAGGACTGGTTAGTTAATTCTTCGTCTATGACGTAGTTTACTAAATTGTATTAGTTTGTCTTACGAAATTTAAGTTTATAAATCCAAAAATCCAAAAGCCCGACGACTAATAAGCTTTGTTCAACTTTCCGCAGACTGTAAGATCTAGCTTCCTTATTCTGAGTTAAATTTAGCTTCAACAAATGTAACATTTATCTCCCAAGGAACTTCAAATATTCCCGTTGAAACAAAATTAAAGCTAAGAATAGCCGCTGACCACTATGTTTCCGAGAATCAGCTTTGAAAGCAATGTATGTTTGTACAAAAACCCAAAAGGGTTCACAGTAAAAAAAAAAGATCAGAAATGCGAGATGAAATTTTGCGTAGATGGGTTTCAAATATGTTTCAGAAAATAACAACCTTACGAAAAAGATCCGACTTTTTCCTTCAGAAAGTTCCGCTTGGGAAACTATTTAGAAAGCCTCAAAACGAAAAAAGGCCATTAATGCAAAAAAACACAATTTAAATTAAGTCAAAAGTTGGATCAAAGTTTCATGTAATTAGGCTGTAAAACAATAGTATAAATTGGCCTTTTTAAAGCTCTGGTGAAAGGAACAGTGACGATAGATGGCAAACCAATCACAAGACAGAGTGTGAAGAGAATCTGCTTTGTACAACAAACAGACGCGTTCTTCGAGAACCTGACACTGTTACAGACTCTGAACTTCGCAGCTAATTTGAGACTGGGAAAGAGCATCAGCCAACGTCAGAAAGAAGCGCTGGTTCAAAAAGTGCTGCAGTTACTGAACCTTGAGGTACACTATTAATTAGTACATAAATTTGTGCGCGGAACACCAAATTCACCTTTGATTTCTGCGCAGAACACCATTTTCAAAACAAAACATGAGCTCAATAATGATACAAATACATTTACAGGAAAAATCACGCTATTTATCGCCACAAATTACAAAAATTTCCGTATAGTTTATTTTTTTATAGACATTTGAGTTTCATGTTTGGAAACTTGTCTGCAAAAATCGAATATAAAACTACTTCTGAAGTAAAATGCATCTAAAGTGGTTTTTATATTTCTTGTTTTAGGGATGCAGTCACATCCAGTGTGGAGACGGATATCAGTACGGATTATCAGGCGGAGAGAGGAAGCGTCTCAATATTGCCTGTGAAATACTCTGCAATCCTGAAATAATCCTTCTAGACGAACCCACTTCCGGTCTAGACGCTTCAGCTGCCAAAAAGCTGATCACATTCTTGCACGATTTTGCCGTGAACGAAAGCAAAATTGTAATTTGTTCAATCCATCAACCTTCGAGTTTCATTTTCCAAAGTTTCCATAAAATTCTGATCCTTCATGAGGGATCCCAGATGTTTTTCGGAAGTCCAGAAGACAGTATTAAATCCCTGGCAGCTCAAGGCTACGTGTGCCCTCCTCAATACAACCCAGCAGAGTACTTTTTGGATATTTTGAGCGATGATAAATTCAATATTGTACCGGATAACAGTAAAAGTAACACTTTACAAATGCCAAAATCAGAGAGCTTGGAAATTTGCGTGGATGTTACGTCATCGGAAACTGAGTCATGCCGTTCCGCAAGGTGAAAAAATTAAACAATTTGTATCTGAAACTTCAACCCTTTTTTGTCAAGGATCTAATCGACTAGATTTGTGTAGTTGAGCTGTATAAATACCAGAGCAAGAAAATACAATTTCTGATAAGATCCAATTTTTAGAACATTTTTAATAATTCGTATTTTAGCCTGACACACAAAACTTGGAGCAACCGTACCATTGAAAAAGACCCTCCTCTCCAACTGAGCCCCTTTTCAACTGCTGAAGAAAACCATAACTCGAACTCATCTGGTGAAAAGTCATCGGAAAAATCCCTGTTTGAACAGTCGCCAAGGGCATCCTACATGCAACAGATAACTACTCTTGGACGGAGGAGTTTTTCACACAGATGGAAACAAGTGATCAACCGATATTCGGCCATGGAATTCGCGGCAGTCACTCTTTTCATGTGCATAATTTGGTTCAAGGTCAGTGTACTAATTTTTCATTCACGTTATTATATTTGCGCAGACACCTTCAATTGGTTCAAGGGCAACAAAAAAGATTCGACGTATTCATTCCTACTTGAGTAACGGTAGCTTGAAGATGATAAACAAAACCAGTTCACACAAGTTATTGTTTCATTGAGACGCTTTAAATAGATTTTTGAAGCCATTTGCTAGTCAGTGAATGGAGAAATTGAATTCAAAAAAGACTGAATCTAATGACCGGCTTATTAGAAACCTTCTTTTAACATATCAAATGATTGAACTGAAACTCCGGGAGTGAAGCAGGAAATAAAAGAAAAACATCAAATAAACGCCGCCCGATGAAAATGGAAATATGATTATATTTTGAGTCACAAAGACTGCTTCAGCTACCATATAACTGGGACACAAGTTCCAAATAGTAGAAAATTTTCAACTTGGAAAGTTTATTTTCAATTCTGAACTTTTTTGAAATCATTCAGAAAAATATTTCGACTTTCAGAAAATTTTTGTGAATAGTTTCATTGAATAAGATATTCTGATGGCAAATATTAAAGTTCTGTCTTTCGGTTCTTCTGCGTTGATGAATTTAATTAAAAAGTTAAGTCACCTATTTATATATCGGGAATGAGAAACTCTATCCGGTTTTGTATTATCTTCATCAGTGAAAGGAAATAGAAGATAAGTTACATCAAATTACATCATTTTCTGATGCTAATCATAATCAGTTCAACTAATGAGATCGCAGCTGAGGAGAATAAGTTATCTGCCAAATGACACATCAAGTTCAAAGTTATCATTAATTTCCCTCTAGTCAAAAAAGAGTGGTAAGAATTGGAAAAACAACACAAAAGAAAGAGGAACATGACTTGGACAAAAAATTTTCAAAGGAAACTAATCAGCTATATTTTAAGCGATTTTTTCTACTTATGGGCGCCTTTATAGGAGCAGTTACGCAAAGACATGTACTCCTGTTGGCGATGTGTGATTTATTTAAACTTGATTGTTTGATTTTTTATCATATGCTGGCTGTAATTTGTCTTAAATGTATTTGTTGTTGTCTGCTGGAATGTTTAATTTAATTAAAACCCAATTTTCGCAGGTTGGAGATTCCGAAGAAGACGTCGAACGTCGCAAAGCCCAACTTTACTTCCTCACCCAATACTGGGCCTTCTACGCCCCATACAAAGTCATGTTCTCATTCCCTTCCGAACGCACTGTAGTGCGACGGGAACGCTCCTCGGGGTGGTACTCTCTGTCCGCTTACTACGTGGGCAAGTGTGTAGTGGAAGTGCCTATGATCAGTATCTACCCTGTATTGATGGTGTGTGTTGTGTACTGGGTGTCTGGAATGGTCAATGCCAGTAGCTTTGTGATGACTTTGACTATTATTGCCACTACTGTTGTCGAGTTTAACGCATTAGGTACAATGATATTCAAATGCCATTTGTCTTCAGAAACTTCTAATTTTTCTCTTTAATGGATGTAAAAAATCCAAAACAAGCCAGAAATTAAAAAAGCATGAGAGATTTTGACAACGTGGAACTGTTTTAAACTATACAATTCAATTTTAACTTTTTCCCAAATTTGACCGATGCAATGAAAAATGACAATATGCTTTTTTTGTTCAGGTGTGGCTATAGGGTGTACCACTATGAACTACCAGCACACCCTCACCATCTGTGCTGTGGTGCTCCTCATGATGCTCATGTTCGGGGGATTCTACAGTCGACAACTCCCATACGTATTCAGGTACCACGTCCAGTCTATCATCCATCAACCAATCAGAAGATGCGATTAACTCAGGGATTCACTTTTTTAACTAATCAGAAAATTTAAGAAACAATCATTACTTGCAACTAACTCAGCTAAAATGCTGATTTTTAATGGCTTTTTCATCAAATTGCGGTAAACCGGACACATTGATCAAAGTTAAAAACAAAAAAAAAATAGCTTGAAATCTCATAGAAAATTCACTAGATAATTTCAGATAATGTGACAATATATATTTGCATATATGAGTTTTAAAAGACAATCCCTTTGCTTTTTTGTCAAAAAATAGGTAGCATCATCTTCAGCTTTACTCACAGTGAACGGAATTTAATCTTGAAGTTTCAATGATCCATATGATTATATTTGTTAATGATAATAAATGGAAAGTGGGATTGAATTTTTTGATATTCCGAAGCCAAAATCTAGGAAGTCTATCTAATTCAAAATCATTAGCACGGTTAAACTAATATAATGCTTCATATTCTTTTTTACCATGTCAAAACTAACTATTTTTTTTATTCAGATGGACGAAGTACCTTTCCCTGTTTAACTTCACGTGGTACGCCCTTCTCAACACACACTTCGCATCACACACTTACTACCAGTAAGACAATTTCTGAAAATATAATTTAAGTTTTTTTTACAGGATATTTGACGCGCTAACTACAATATATCAAAATATATGATGCAAATGGACAAATTAAAAAAATGCAAAAAAAAACTATCGCTGTATTGAAACGTGAATATAAAAAACACCATTTAAAAAGGCGGAAAAGAAAAACTCAATTGATAAGTGGATATCAATTGGGAAAATTTAATTTAATTTATAAGAAAATGTTGGACGAGAGACGCGAATTCAAAGAGAAACACAAAAGATTTAAAAAATAGTTTGAGCTTGAAAAAAATTACGACCGAGTCTGATCAAATAATTTATTTAATTCGAGATCAATTTTTTCTGTTTGTTTCAGACCATGCGTCCAAGAGGTAAACAATTTGAGTACCAGCAATATCACAACGCCAATCTCAAAATCATGCTCAGAAGCGATAGACCCCGTTTCGATTCTCAGTGATGCCGGAGTGGATTTAAGTACAACTTCTTGCATAGCTGTGATGCTGGTTGCAACTTGCGTGTTTTATGTTTATGGATATTTGGCATTGAGACATTTAAACAAACCAAACAAAGAGAAAGGAACTTAATTTTTGTTATGTAGTGAATTTACCTCCTAATAATCATATCTATGTTTACCTATTTACTAAAAGGTATTTGAATTAATTTGTTATCACACCCACTATTTTACAGCTGAAAATTCGAGTTTGACAAGTTTGACAGAATGAATTTGAAGTTTTCACACCTACGAGATGACCATCATTTGAACAAATTTAGCCTTGAAAAGGAGACCTTCAAAATACATATTTGAAATGAATTCTGGAGTCAAACATCATGCAAAGAGCATTCAAGGTTATTAAATGCAAATAATGAGAGTTAAGGTCAAACCCTGGTTTGCTTATCATAGAAGCAATTGGAGACAGATACAATTTGACAGATAATAGTGACAGAAAATATCTTCGCATGTTCTACGTAAAATCTACTTTTGAACTAAAAAAGTGACTTTCACGAACCAGATTTTTTAACAAAAATTTCATCGAGTTACTTTGGGCTCAGGAAAAAAAGGGATTCAGTTTTTGTGTACACTTGTTGGAAAAACAACCGACTTGTTCGTGTTTGTTTGCGAACATATTTAGTCTTTCGAAAAGTAACTATATTGAGAAGCAGATCTCGAATAATAGAATTGCAAACATAAAATCAATACAATTTATAGGCCACTTTGACGCGTAAATTGCACTTTTTGAAGAACTACTGTCTAGCTTAAATGGTCTTGACAAAGAAAAACAATTTGATCGTTTCATTTATTTCGCCCTCTCGTGATCTCGTGATGGCAAAAAAAAAGTTTATCGAACCTGATTGATTGGAATCAAATACAGCGCTCAAGTATCAATAGAATACCGAGTCTAATTATTAATGCGGCGATGTTTAGTCCGAATGTAGTTTAGGCCGAATTAGTAAGAAGACTAAAATTAGATGACTCACCTGTGCGTACTCCTGTACAATCTGCGTCTCTCTCAACATGACCTTCTCTTCAGCTGCCACCAGCTGGATCACCTCTTCCACCGCCGCCTGGTCTTCCTAAACAACCACCAATGAAGTGTCATTCATATACATTTATAGTTACCAGATATAAAGAAAGCAAAAATTTCTCCAAATGAGCACTTTTTTTGCGACTTAGGTTATATTTTGCGACTACCGTGATATAACACCAAGATCCGCTTGTGTAATCAATGAACTGCCTCTCAGTTTTAAAAAATATTTCTTAAGTATACGAAAACAAACCATTCTCCTCGGAGTATCTATTTGATAAAATTTTTCCCTAGTGCAGAAACTCCTACGAAACTTACCATAAAAGAACTATGACACTTGGATGCCTAAAACCTTTTTGCACCTTGAGTACTAGAGTTAATGTCTTCTCCTCAAATCAGTTTTTTTTTCAGTATCAAAAAGTTAAGAGCCACCAAAAATTTTTGAGACACTTTATAAAAGTCGAAACATACAGGGCTTTGACCCGATAAGACCAGTTTTGTTGAACTTTTCGGTTCCATCATGTTTCATTTACATGCACAGAACTGAAGTAATTGCTGCATCCTAAACGGCACACACGTCTTTAAATAGCGCCCAAAAACTTGGTATTTTCTGATGTGATGTCAATGAATTGATGAATCAGTGAAACCAAATGGGGCGCACTAGATCAGTAACACAAAAATGCTTCATTCTTACATCATCAATTTAAACAAGACTACTCGTATATCAGGGCAAACCCCGAAACGTTTCAACTGCCCATTAATTGCTCTACAAGTGTTTACCAAAAAATTTTTTAGATAAAACTATAAATTTAGGAAGGTCAATGTCAAATAATCGGATCAGTTTTGTGAGCGGGATGATACTTCGGATTACGCATTCAGCATCATATATAAAGTCTTCAAATTTTTAAACGAGATGTCAAAGCGTATTTAGGATAGTGCGAAGCACACCTGCTTCGTAACGCGTAGATTCCAGATGCGATTCCCACTCGAAATTTTTCTTTCAAAAAATTATCTGAAAAAACCACCCCAAGCTTATTTTCTCACTTTCTTCGAAAATAGAAATAAAAAACATGACCCCATGACCCAAATTTAAAAACTAAAATTGTTTGCAAGATTATACTACAAATGAAAATATGTTTTTTTTTGTTCCGACCATTTGAAAAATGGGGAAGAACTTTGTATTCAGGTGTGTTTTAATTTTTTGTTCCGACCAATGAAAATGAGGAGGAACTTTGTATTCGGGTGTGTTTTAGATTTTTTCTCTTTTTTTCAACGCAAAATTAGGTACCACAAATAAGCAATGGACTGGGTTGACTGGTATATCAAATTGAAGACCTTTCAGTCGTGATTCGAATCACATTAAAAAATTCCCAAAATTTACTTCTAGTGTTGAGAAAAACAGGTTTGAAATTTTTTTGATTTTTCGTCTAGCTTCGAACAAGTGAACAAGCTTACATTAGCTTATTTATGCTTAACTTAAGCCTTAACTTAAACCTAGTCAAGGTGCTTAACTTAAGCCTTGAAAGTTTTTAGCGCCCCATTGGGTATGAAAAAGATCAAACTTTTCAGAAACAAAATTTGAAAAATTAAAAAAAATTTTGAAAAATTTTTTAACCATTTTTTTTTCGTTTTTCTAGTTATGTTTTTGGAAAAACTGTTTTATTTTCAAATTGCCTGTTTTACTATGTCTGTCAAATATGCATTAGTTTTAGTTTTTTGTTCAAATCCTTTTATCACACCACGTAGAAAAAACGACACTAACTTGAAAAAAAAAGAATTTTACGTATTTTTTAAGACTATGGTCTGAACATTCTGTGCTACTTGCACAGTAACCGCCTATCCTTGTTTTCATGTGTCTTCGATTGATAATTATTATGATTGCTTGTCATAGATCAGTTCTATAAACCTTTCAGTACGAACTTGATGTATTTCTTACGTCGTACGATTAAAAATCAGGAAGTAAAGCCACCTCCTAAGCATGCCCCCAAAGATTTCTGCTGCTATATAGAGCAAATTCTGTTGCTTTATAGAAAAATCTGCTTTTTCAGCTCTATAAAAATTTTCATTAATCATGCATTTATTTCAAAAAATACTGTTTTTATCGCTTTTCGAAAAAAACCAATTTGAAAACGAGCCAGAGCATTTTCAGGAAGCAAAAGAGTAGATTAGTAGAGTCGCGGATAGATTCATTTTTTTTGCGTTTTTGAGAAAATTAGAGGTAACATCTGGCACAAAAAATTCTTGTTGCGACTTGATTTGGAGAAAAACTTTGAATTCAATTGCACTTTTTCAACGCAAAACTACCACAAATGAAGATGTAGTCGAGTGACATTTCATAACGAAGCCTCTTCAGTGCTGAGTCGAGTTTCATTAAGAAATTCTAGACTTAACCCTAGAAGTGACAAAAAAACTAGATAGCGTTGCTTGATTTTTCGAGTCAGACAGTGTTGTCAGATATACAAAACTCAGTGTGTCGACGAAGAATGATGTAGTATAGTATTGAATTGTATTAAAAACCAAGTTCTCTGATTGATACAGTTATGTGAATCGAGTGAGAGTATTTTGTACCTTGAGAAGAGCGAGTGTCTTCTCTGTTTCGATTGTTTTCTCTTCGATCTCTGGACCCAAACTGACCAGTTGTTTCTGTAGAACAGCCACAGATGCATTGGCTTCAGACAATTTGTCAATTCCACTTTTTAGGCGGTCCCTATATAAATTTATTTGAAGATAATTTGGGAAGATTTTAAAATCTATTTCATTTTCGAAATCCTGTAGATATTCTGTTAAGGCTTCAAAATGTACGTGAGCGTGGAACTCATAGAATACTTTAAGATATTAATACCGAGGCGAAGCTGCATTTTGCAGTAAGAAACAAAAAAATATGGCAAAAATGAGATGTATAACTTAAAATGATAAAATTCGTAAACCTTTTTAATCAAATTTTAAAGTTCTAATAAGCTTCGAAAAATAAACTATAATCAAATACGGGATTTTAATCTCTGAGCTTTGAATCATAGCAAATACAAGCCGTTTTAAAAGGCGGATAAAAATTAGGTTCAAGTTGCGAACAAAGTCCATGCTAAATTGCGCACAAACGTTGAGCACTGATTAAGGCCAACTGGGTTGGAAAAAATTGCGTATTATCAAACAAGCATTTGCTTGTGTTAAACAATGAATAACGCAAGAACTGTTGGAAAAATTAAAAATACATTACAATTTTTAAGTGACGATTATATCGGAATAACCTGTTTTGCAGTATCTCGTTCAATTTTTCCACGTACAGATTGGAGTACAATTTCATTAGCTTCAGATACGAACTTGGAGTTACGTAATAATGACGTCGCAACTCAGCATAGAATCTCTGAGACATTGTTCGAACGGATTTGTAGATTTTCACGCAGCTATCAGCAAGCGCTTCCTTCAGAGCTTTTTGGCGACTCTCGCCTGTCAGAGGTCGAGCTACTTCTGAGGCGCCACCAACTTCTATGGAACCCAAAGTGACTGAATATTTTCTGGCACTTGAGGATTTACTCGACCTTTGGGATACCGGTCGTGAGGGCTTGTGGAACCCTGCCGACGTTTGATTGAAGTCAAGTTTAGTCAAAGACATTTGGGCCACAGTGAGCATGGCGTGATCGCTCCACTCATCGATCCAGTCAATGGTACAGCAGTTGACTATACTAGGGTGCATCCGGCATCTGTGGCGGAAACTGGACCCAGCTGGACTCAGGGCTAAGATGATGTGCAGGTTTGCTTTGACTCGCTGAAAAATACCAATTAATTTAAAATAAACTAAAAAAAACAGAAAGTAATTTTTATGCTTCCAACTTATTTTAAAGAATATTGAAAACTTGACAATAAATTTCCAGGTCTTCCATAGGTATATTGCATTTTGATTTCAAAAAAGTCTTCAAAAACTAAAATTTGATTAAATTTTGGTATCGATCCAAAAAGCTAACCAATTTATGATGTTGAGAGACAGCTTTCACTTCCAATTCAATTATTAATCTAATGTTGATGATTAGATTAAAGTTGATGATTTAATTTGAACTTTAAGTTGCTCATAAGTTGTTTTTTAAAAGGTTTCTTAAGTTATCATACGGTACATTATTTAAATGTAAGTTTTCACAGACATTTCAGAAGTTTCGAGGACTTTTTCAAAGTAATTTAACGGTAATTTTTAATAAATAATCATAATTTATTTGTTTTCAAGCTATGAGCACTATAAAAATGTATCAAAAATTATAGCGTAACAGTTGTAGAGCACCAGCTTTAGCGGATACTGAAGGCTATCCAGCCTTTTTTAAAATGCCATGAAAGAACTTTCTAAACCTTGAGAAACATTTGAAATTTTTATTTAAAACGACAAAAACCTCAAGGAAGAAATTGTAGAGTGCAGTGGCAGTGTCTGGCAGTTCTCTGTCCATGGCTATGTTCTTGATATCTATGCATATTCCATCTATCTCCTCCTTGTCGAAGAGCTCAGGCACTTCTCCACTGTTCAGAATAGAGTTGATGTCTTCCAAGAACTCCTCCTGGAATATATAATTAACATTAAACGACAATTTCTAATTTTATTTTTTCGTACTTACAAGCAAAAGAGAAATCCAAATCATAAGGCAAAGTTGTAACGTTTAATATCTGACCTTGATTAGATCCGAATCCGTTAAGAGAAACGCCACTCTTTTCCCATCCGATCCCCCACACATCTTGAAGATGCCCTTCAACTCCTCCCGGAACTCAGACACTCCGTAGTGCCTGGTAATGGTCAGCCTGTACAGCTCACACTGGGCTATCTTGGATGCTATCTGGACTGTCGTGGACTTCCCTGTTCCGTCCAGACCAACCAGGAGAAGATGGCCACCCTCTTGACGCAGCACGCGGGATACTCTGAATTAAAAACAAGCTGGTTACGGCACAGTAACTTCAACAGATACACATTCCATAAAGGACTAAAAATCATCATTATTACAATAGTCAACGACTCTTTAAAATGTAAAAAAGCACTGTAAATCCTTAGCACTGTTAGCAACTGATTAAAGTAAGATTTTTCTTTCAACTTCCCTGCTCGCTTTTTTATGGTTATTTTTTACTTTCCAGTTTTGCTTTTTTACAGTTCTTAAAGCGGGCGAAAAAATTTTCAGTCTGATGTTCTCTCTTTTGAATTTTTGCTTTTCAAAACTGAAGTTTAAAAAGTTATTACCTGCAAATATGGACGACACACTCCTGAAAGAAGCTCATGTCTTTGCCAGCCGCTCCTCCGCCCCCGCCTTGACCCCCTCCGAAACTGGTGCGAAGATGGAACTCCTCCAGAATGGCAGCTGGAATATACTTCATTTTAATGATCATCGAAAGCACCTAATGTTTTAGCTTAGAAGATTATGGCATTTGCTAATGTGCTATGATAGTCTATGACACAAGTGAGAAGGTTGCCTACAACGATGAAGCTATGCAGTGTTTGAACTGGGCATTAAGGTTACATTTTTTACTAACACACATTTATTGTGACTCTTCACTATAGTTGATTGCTTTAGGGGGGCTTTTGTCAAAGAGGTACCCATAGAGACCCCTACTTAACCAACGTCTCGTTTAGTTTAAGAACAATCATTCACATAAAATGAACACACCTATCTGAGCTGTGCTCTGCATGGGTCTGTACACTCTGTTGTTCGAGGGGGAGTTGAGGTCCAGGAAGTCCCCGTAGAGCAGGGGAGATTGGTCGAAATACTCCATGCTCATCTTGATCTAGAGAACACCGAAGTTATCAATTGGAAAGTTCAGTAACAAAGCACACATGAGTTTCTCTTTGACTTTACTTCAGGACTCGAAAACAAAACATAACTGGAGTCGAAAACTAATACTGACAAAACTTAAGCTTTAAACATGGTCCTTTTAACTTTTCCCCAACATCGTAGGACAACAGAAACAATAAGGGAGATATTTAATTTAAGATAAGAGTTAAAATGTGTCTGGCCTCCATAAAAAGAGACAAGACTGCTCGTATCAGGGCAAAGCCCTGAATGTTACGACTGGCTTTTAAGGTTTATGGATCAGCAGTAATAGCATAAAAAAATTTAATGAAATAAAATAAAATTAATTTTTTTTTCAAAAATTTGAAGTTTTTTTATGAAAATCATCCCCCCACACGCCATATAAAGTACAAAAGGATATATTTTGTTCCTTGCAACAAACAATTATGGCAAATAAGCTTCGTTTAACCAATTTGGAACGATTTATAAGACGGATTAAATCTCCGCTTGCGCGTTAATAGCGCGAATTATATCGCGCGTTAATTGTCCCAAATTGGTCAAAATGGCCAAAATGGCAAACTTTAAACCCTCATAACTTTACAAAAAATGATCACAGGTGAAATATCTTTTCAAATTTAAGCTCAGGATAACAATACCTTTTGAATGATATAAAAAAATTCCGTCAAAGATGGCTAGTTAAAAAGTCGAAATTTGTCTGAAGAAAAAAAAAACCCACCCCGAGCACAAATATTCCGTTACTTTCGTATCGAAAGTCGGAACAATAAGAATGTTATTTTGAGGAATTCATTTAGGATCAAACCTTGAAGTGGAGATGTAGTTCATCCGTGAGTATTTTGAAGAAGTGTTTCCTGTCTGCAGTGTCTGTGAGTCTGTCGTGGAACACTCTTGTGGCCTCGTGAGCAAGGAGACTGGCAGCTGACTCACGAGAGATCACTACTGTGTCGTCTGCTTGGAACAGACCTGTGATCACCTGAAGACGCAAACGGAAATATTGTTTATTTTCACTCATTCAGCCAAGAAAAACAGCGATTTATAAATAAATCAACGTTATAAATACACTTAAGTAATTCATTGGGTTCCACCTGATTTCCAACCTCAAACCACCTGCGAGCATTTTCATTTCTCTTTTCATATTTCAGTATTTGCAAACATGGGTCGAAGAAGTCAAAACACCTATCAACTTTCCGGACGATTTGGTTCTAAGTTGTAAATTCCTTTTGGAAAATTTTTAGTGCCAATCAAAAAACTATACAAACTGTAATGCATTTTTAAAAATAAAATTCCTTTTATTGGGATAATTAAACAATTTTTACCTGTGATAAATCTCTCAGATTGAACGTGTAGTGAATTTTTGTCGGTGTTGGCAACATAGTCCGGCTCATCTGGTTATAGATCCCGATAGCCGCATTAACTAAAGCCTCTCTCTGCTCTTTAACGTCCTGCAGAAAATCCCTCGATTCCAAAAAGTGCCCTAATCTAACTGTGAACACATGGCGCAACGAGCTTTCTGACGGATGCGGCAGAGCCAACATTCGAAACTGACTCAAAAGACGAGGACTCATGTTTTGACGCCCTCCTCCGGGTGGAGCGCAAGCTGCCACTACCGACAAATCATGTATGTTTTTCCACTGTAGCTTCGGGAACACATAGAACCCGCTTGATTCCAGGAGCTGCCGGATCAGTTCCAAAGGTGGCTGGGACCCGAACGTCTCAGGCATTGGCATGTTGATGTCATCTATAAAAGCAACTACTCGTTTTCCTTTCGGAGCTGTCAGTCCCTCTTTTCCTCGTTTAATGAGTTTAAAAATGAGTTGGGATTGGACTTTGTGGGAGTTGGTCTGGGCTGAGAACTGGATGATGGTTGGGATTACAGTTCCTCGAAGAGCTTCTTTTGCGGCAGTGGATAGCATTGCAGTTTCATCTGTTGTACTTTCGATAGTTCCTCCTAAAACAACGCCAAGCCTTGTTTTAAATGACGCCAAACCTTGTTTTAAATCACGCCAAACCTTAATTTAGCTTATCAAAATATTTGCTACATTTTGCATTTTAACTCTCGAAACTTATATTGCAGTAAATCCAAAATAATGTATTAACTATGACTTTGATTTTTTGTGATGAGGAGCTTGCTTTATTTGACAAATCTAAAGTATGAATAAATTGAATGTATTTTTCAATTTAGCTATTCCGTGACAAAAAAATTAAGGGGGTAGTGGGCTTTATTTTTGTAGTCACTTGGCGGGGACTAAAAAAGGAAACACGAAAAGGCTTTTGAACATACCTTTGTCTCTGGAGTCACTCATAGCCAGTAGATGACTGACATTATCCAGAATGTCAGTGTCTCTGTCCGAATAGTTCAACACCCTTCCCAACACTGTGCCCCCATGAGTAGACAGTCCAGATGTCTGGCCAACTTTGGACAACAAATCCTGCACAATAGCCGTTTTTCCTATTCCTGACTCTCCTGCAAGATAAATTTATTGTCATTTTCATCATTAAATTTTCAAAACTTTTTTCAGGGTTAATTTAATTATTCACAAAAACAATATTTCAACATCTTTCAGACCAGAACACCTGTATAAAAAAGACTCCTATTCATATTGCAAATAGCTCCGCCTACTTCGCAAGCAATTCCTATTGCAAATAGCTTCAATTACTTTGCAAGCAATGAAAACTAGATTTTTTTTTATAAATAATCATTGATGCAAATGTTTTGACATAGTCTGTGATACTTGATTTCAAAAACAATAAGCAATCACAGAAGATAAGTTCATTTTTTAAAATAGATTTCAGCTTACTGAGAGTTTTATTCAGCCAGTTAAGGTTAGCCACAATAGGTCACATCAAAAAACGCAGCATGTTTATTACACTAAGCCAACCTGTGAGAAGTATTGGGTTTTTGTAGAGTGTAAGAAGAACTGTCAAGAATGAGTATCTCACTGAATCTACAGTGGGGACCAACTCGATCGCCTCCGTCTGCTGGTTATTATTTCCGCCAGATTGACCTGTATTTTACGAGAAATTAAAAATAAAATCAACATTTAAGATGACGTATTCAACAGATATGATAGATGAAGCATGGCTCAAACTTCTAGCACTAAGATTTTTCATCATCAATATAATGATGTCTACCATGAAAAAATACTCGCTAAAATGTTTTTTTTTGTTTGAAAATAAGTTTATGCTTCAATGGTGATAATTAAATGAGGAATTTCAGTCAATGAGAGAGCATTACACAGTTGAACTGACAATTGATGAAAGAGCTACTTGCTAAGATAAATACAAAATTTCACCAACCTTTCCCGCTTTTGGACCTTTTCTTAACAGGTCGGTCTTCTGCATAAGACAAAACTATTTAATATTCATAAAAACTTTTTTAAATAAAATTCAGTGTTAAACTAAACTAAGTCTTCTTTTGTGTGTTTTTTGAAAATTTCCGAATATCGTCTCCAATAGAGAACACCAACAAAAAAGTATGCGTCTCAAAAGATGTAAATCGTAACAATTAGCTTACCAACAGGTCCGATTCCTTTCTCGACCAGATACTTAGTGGATGGGACTAGTTTGTTCCACAGCACAAAGCCCCCGTTGATGATGTCGATGAAGTAGGCGTACACTGTCTGGTTGCCAGAGGGAAGACGCACACCTGAAAGAAACCAGCGATGAGACTTATTCATAGAGAATCCTAGAGTTTAAATAAATAAGGATAGCCGGTTTCTATGCAAGTAGCACAAAAGGTTCTGACAACAGTTATGAATTTTTTTTTCAATGCGCTTAGGAAGATATAAAACTTAGCATAAAAAAAAGCTGGCTTCAGTGAACAAAATTTTTTACTGCATTTCGTAACAAAATTGAAAAACGAAAATTCAAAAGTTATATTTAAACTTAAAATGTATTTTAAAGCTTACTATGTCCTCTAAATTCGAAATTAGACTAAAAGCAGAAGTTTGAAAGCGGTTTTTTCGATATTGACACAACTTTTGAGAAAAATTCAAGCTTCGTTCGCATCAAGGCTGTAAAGGCTTTAATATGTTAAGTCATTCGATCTATTTTGATGATTGCTGATGAACAAGGCAAAAACAAATAAAACTAACTAAAACACACGCGAAGACAAAGTAGCGTGGGTTCAAAACATGTCAGAACTGTAGAAAACGTATGCTAACCAGTTTTAGCTAATCACCACCTTTAAATCAAAAAAAAATATGAAATAAGCATGCCAAATTTGGGATTACATCCCTGAAATACATATTGAATCCAGCTTAAATTGCGGGGTGTATTGAGCACAAATACATGTTCAAGCTGAAATAGTTTAGAAGCAATTATAAGTAATTTTTTTGATAAAAAAATAGCATCTACCCACCAAAGAGACCATGCATTTATATTCCACGTAAATAATTTAAGTTGCGATAGCTAGTGTACATGTAAAAGGGATTTAGATTTTTTTCATTTAACACTTTTTCTTAGAATACTTTAAGATATCGAACTGCTTTACTATGAAACCTCAATAACTTACAGCCACTTTCACACGGCCTATGGGCAAAGCGCGGGCCTTTCCAAAAGTTTGGGGTTTGAATCCTGTCCGAAAAGTATATAGATTTGTTCAATTTGAGGAATTTCATTTTTTTGGGGAAAATTGAATTGTCCGACTATCACTTATCTGTTTATTTCGTCCGCTGATTTTCCAAAGCATGTACTTTTAATCCAATTTCAGACTTGTTTACAGTAACTTAGAGAAGTCGTTCTGGAATTTGTAAGTTTGCCAATTCTGATTTCGTACAATTTCATTTTATCACATGAATGGTTTCTGCTGATAAAGCTAATGATAATTTGAAAGGCAAAAATAGAGTTTTATACTTTTGTGTTTCAGGAGTGAGGCGTAAAAACTTTGTTTTGGGCTCAATGGGCGTCTATTGAAGTATTCTCGGCTTAGTTGCCGCTCGGTAAATGATTCTGAATGCTAACTAAAATGGATGATTGTATTTTTCTACAGTTTTTCGTCCAATTGAACTTTTTTCGGGGCAAGCAATGGGGAAATTTTTGTAGATGTAGAATTTTTTTTTCAATAATTTTGTCGGCATAGTGGTTTCCGTTCCATCTGGCAATGCTATTTTTTTGCTGTATCGCAAGCGTTGCGAACCTCTGTTAAGTTTTGTATCCCGGCGGAAAAAGTAATCGAAACAGATGGAAATAAGTTATCACACGCATTGCAAAACAGCATGTCGGAGAATGTTAATTTTGTCTCCAAAAGTTAATTTTTTGAATATTACAGTAGTATGAACATGCTATGCTTCATGTGCTCCCAAAAAAGTTATTTTTTAAAATATTACAATAGTATGAACATACACCATGCGCTCTTCTTATTTTTTAAAATCTTTTTTGGCGTAAAAACAACAACCTACCATAAGGTGGTTCACACTCGAATAACTCCCTCACGAAGTTATCAAACTCATATCCCACATCATTCACACTTCCATCTCCCCCACCCACTTCCTCTGCATCGTCCACCCTCCTGAAGTTGCCCCCCAGAGCCCAGGTGAAGCAGAACACGAACAGTTTGGACAAGAGTGGTTCCAGGTTGTCCGGGTATTTTTCGAGGTACCATTTGCCAGAGTTGCTTCTGAAAAAAAAATAGTACTTATAGTACTTCTAAAATTCAAAAAGCTGAAAAAAAATAATTTAGAATTTTTAAATTATTTTAAAACATTGAGAGCTCTGAAGTTACTTTGATCTTCAAAAAAAATCAAAAAACATGAAGACAAATAAAAAAACATGATAAAAAACATGAAGAAAAAATATGAAGACAATAGATAAATAATGTTTATATTCTGAGTTATGAGAATAATTATTTAGCTATTCAGCTTTTCGAAAAACTCTAACAGAAACCCTCTTTCAATAAAACTTCTATCATCAAGAAAAAAATAGTCTCCAGTATAAACTTTTTCTTGATGTTTCGAATGAAAACTTTATCCTCACTTTTTGGAAGTCTTCTTGGCTTTTCCAGTGAGGGAGACACGTGACTGTTCTTCATTCGCTTCTTCCTCCTCGTCTGAAAGCACATGTAGATAGATTATTGTACTGATATTTGAACTAACACAATTCCAGGAAATTCCACGACTGGACCCTTTATCCGGATAAATGAGAATAAAAAAACCCAACTTCGAAGACAAATGTTCACTTTTGATTTGACGGCAGTTATGAAAGTCACTCAAGAAATTTTAGCCATCAAACGGTTCTTCATGCAGAAGGACGGATTCTATATTAGTGCGAAGTGTTTCTAACAACTATGAAGCAGATAAATAACGTTGAGGCAAACTCAGTTGATCTTTCTAACAATGATAAGAACTGTTGCTTTGCACGATAGAAAGAAAGAGAAAATAAGCTTCTCTGGTCAATCACAAGTATATACACAAGCGATTCATCGTTAGTAGTCATTAGAAATGAAACACCTGTGAATGGACCTGTAGGTCCAATGGTGCAACGTATTTAACTAACTAACCAAAATGGAACTGGCCGAAAACAATTTATTATAGTTAATAGTCAGAGAGGACAGACTTTCCAGACAAGGCTTACCATTTGGTGCGAATCCGAAGCCTCCGTTGTACTTGAGGAACTCAATGTATGCCTCTAGCAGAGTGCAAAGTGTCTTCACCATACTCAGCTCAGGCGCCTTCACATGCTGTTCACTCGAGTGGGACTTGACAAACTTCAGTCCTGCTTCCAAAAAGTGGTCGAACATCCCGTCCAGGAATTCTTGGCCTTTGGGGGGAAACTAAAAAGTGCCTCATGATCAATCAGTTGTACAAGCCAGTGCCAAAGTGGCCTCTAATTCATGTTAACATTTTGCTCTTCAAGCTGTGTGCAAAAACATATTTGCTGATGTCTGATAACACAAACCACGCAAATCAAACCTGAAAGCGGGTGATTTATGTGTTATGCTATTAGTTTATTTCTGCAGTGCGCAAAAAAAAGACTTCAAATCCATTTAGACCTTGCAGATCAGGCATTAAACGCCTTTTTCACCATTTTTCTTTTTTTCTTCTTATCATTGTATCTTTGATCGTCAAGTAACGTTCTTCAAAATGTGTGTAATCGCCCCCTTTTAGGAGCGATTGGGCGCAAAAATAAGGAAGATATTTGACAAAATGATACCTGTTTGGGCAACTTTTTCAGCCAAGTCGACACATACGGTCTCCATCCCAAATCAACTGGATCCATGTATACCATGGCACATCTGGAGATGGTAGCTGGACTAGCCTGAGACAGATTGTCTACTTCGAACATGAGTCTCAAATCTGGAGTCAGACTGATTCTCTCTCCGTTGGCCAGACAAAGCACTTTGGAATCATCCAGAACCTGAATGAAAATGAAACATATGGTCCCGAATCCACATTATTAAGGTAATAGTACAACAAGGCAAATATTGTTGTACGTGTCCAATAGCTATTTTGTCAGTGGAAGCGTGGATCCCAAAACAGAGAAGCGAAGGTTTTGTTGCTGATTCCAAAACAAAACCTTCTTTCCTTTGATTTTTTTTGGAAGGGAAACAACAGTCTAATACTTAAACATTGGTGGAACTGGCGCGGGATCCTAAATTTCTTTTAAGAGGAATCTGCTAGCAGTTTTGTAAATGGATTCAGCGTATGCGGGATTCACTAACAAAAGCTTGTGCGTTCTGTATTGGAATCTACAAACTTGTCATTAGAATGCGTAACTTACTCTCATATTTATTCAGTCAAACGAATCTCATTTGATTTTTGGTTCTAGGTTTAGCTCTTACATCAGTTTAAATAACCGAGCAAATCTCCTTTGGTTTATATTTTGATTGGAACTTAACTAATTTTTTTTACTTCATTTTGAAACGTTTCCGAACCAAATAAACACAGCGAACAGAAAGTCGATGAAGCGTCAATGAACTCAAAGAACCGAAAAAAAACTTGAAGACTGTTTTGAACGTTGAATTTTGAAGACAAATACATAACAAAGAATCTTAGATGCATTTTATTTCAAGAATCTTTAATGATCGACAAATTTTTCATAAAATTAATCCAATTAGAGCAAATTGGTCCAATAGGTTTTTTTTATTTATACTGGGATATCTAAAATTAAAATCTACGTTGGAAATTTTAAGTTATTCTCATTTGGACTTTTGTATTTGAAGAGCATTTTAGCAAATGTATTTGAAATTCACTTGAAAAAAATCGAAATTCAAACCACAAAAAAAAATCAAATTTAAGCTGGATCAAATTTTAAGACAAAAACTTTTACAGCAAAAAAAAAAACGAAACGACACGATCTAAATAATTTCTCCATTGGCACTTGGCTTAACTCGTCGGAAGAATACAATTTCAGGCTATGCCGAACCAAATTATAGGTTTCAACACAAGACAAAAAGGTTCCATGTAAAATATGGTGTTCTATAAACTCTATAAAAAGTTAAGACAATTTATTCGCGAGGGAAAAGACAATCAATCGATCAATTCAGCTCTTCACAAATAACCAATGCTGTGCCCCTGCTTAATAATTAAAGGCACTTTATTGTTTTTTTTTCTGGGCTGAGGTTTGTTGCTTCACCTGCAGACAACTAAGATTGGGCTTCACCCAGCTAAGATTGTGTTGGGCACGAACTGATATAAAAAGTAGCACGTTTTTTTTTCTCGAAGTCTTAACGAAATCTGAAAACAAGCACCCTTGAAGTATTTTCTCGTTAACATGTATATAACATACATTGACATTAAAACTTTGCTGATGCAGTTTTAAGAGTTTATTCATCATTTGTAGGGGGTCTTGTCAGAATGATAGGGGTCACAATGAACCTTTCTTAGATCTGATTGGCTAGTTCTTATTTCTTTGCTCAAACCCCCTGTGAACTCCAATTAGATCGCTCAACCTTAATCGAAGGTGAATGCCCTTCAATAGTTCATTTAAACAGTTGAAACTGACTGGCAACTGTTCAGAAATTAAACATATGTCTATTAAATGTATTAGCTTAATATGGAGCTACTTAAGGTCAGGCTACTGATAATTCCAAAGATGTCTTTAACCGACAGAACAAAACTATCATGAAATTCAAAGTAGATTTCATATCACATGCACAGAACAACTTAGTTCTCAATTCCCTGAAAATAATTTTGATTAAATCAAAATAATATTTTTTCAGCGAAGTTATTAGTAGTTAGTTCTACAAATCTTCAGAATTTCTAACCATTCCTGTTTCGATATCATGCTCCTTTAAAATTGAATCTAACCATTTCGTTTTCTAAGGAAAAATTCACAAGAAACCACAATTTTACACATAAAGGTAACATGACTCAGGGATAAAAATTCGAAAGAGAAATAAAAACGATGACTTGCAGGCTGCAAGGAATGGCGAAGTTTTCCTTTGAAAAACTTTAGGCCTTTGAGAGGAAGCCTTTGAAAAAATGACTTAGAAACAAATATTTTTTGCAGGCCTTTGAAAAAATGATCGAAAAGCCATACCGTGTTTAGATTCTCCACCCACAGTGTATCTACGGGTCCGTCAAGAATTAGCCATTTCCAGTCTGTGTTTGATGAGTCATCTCCACCAGCAGCAGATCTGCTTCTACTCCCGAGACCAACTTCCGATGACTTGCCATCCTCTCCTAGTGAATTCAACGTCTTTAACGAAATACTTTCTTTTTGGTGTAAGAAAACAGTGAAACTTCCACCCAACGCCTATGTTAAGTACAAAATATATAATTAGCATCAGATAACTTGTTAATAACACCAAATAGCTGACCTCAATTCAATTTGGAAAGATTTCCGAGCAGTATTAAACAGCGCGCAACAATTTTCCCAAATGTCCAAATTGCCGCTAATCAAATCCTCATTACTTGGCACGAGGAAAAAAAAACGAGGACAAATAATCATTCGCCGTCTTTTTCGAAAATCGACACAATAGCGTATAAAGGAAAAATTGGGAAGTTCAAAGGCAATTGGGAAGTTCATTAAAACATATCCGGATCCAAAATAAAAGATTGTTTTTCTGCAACATGCAAGAAAAACTTCGTTAGCAAAAAAACCACAAAAAAAAGGATGGATTTTTAAACAAAGTGGAGGCAAAACGGAGTTTTGCACAACTTTTGAAAAAAAGCAGGACAAGTTAGCCGACAAAAAAAAATTTAGCAAAACGATTAAACGGAAAAAACCGTGTAATGAAATTAGATCTTCGAAAATATTAAAATATTTTTCTCGACTCGAGAGAAAATTACTCAACAATGGCCAGTGTTAAAATAAAGTTTAAGTTTCGTAGCGACAAAATTTTGGTAGACGAGCCAAAAAATTTTTTCATAATAAATTTTGAGCTAAACAAAATTAAAAACTCGTGTAATAAAATTAGATCTTCGAAAATTTTAAAATAAAGTTTTCAAGTTCCACATAACACCAGAACACAAACAAAGAAAAAAGCAGCAAAACCAATTTAAGATCAGCCAATTTTGAAATTTGTTAAGCTTTACTGATAATAGGAGAAAAACGAAACAAAAAGGGAAGTATAAAAAATCAGAGTTGGTTTACAACCAATAAAAAAAATTTCGAATAGAACGGTGGAAAATCAAAATGCAGACATACACATAAAAAGTTTGTTGGTGAAAAAGTTTTAGCTCTAATTTGATAACGCCTGCTAATCAAAAAAACTATTCATGCAAAAAATCAAAGCCAAAATTACAGAAACTTTGTCAACACGAAAAAAGATCATTTTTGTACTACCCTTCCTAATTTCTTTTGAATAAGCATTTATCAACTTTATTGAATTACTTTTTCATACGACAAAAGCCAACTTTTTGGTTAATTGTTTGGATTTGAATTTACCGAGATGCATCTTTATTTTCAGTAACCAAAAACTAGACTACAAACTCAATTCATAGAAAAATCAAAACTAAGTTTTTTTTATAATTCAAAAAACTATACTTTGTACAAATTTTCGTAATATCACAACTCGCAACAAAAACAATTTGCAATCAATTCACAGATACAAACAAACCAACGTGTTTCAGGCTTGCCATTGGAGGGTAAAAATTTATATGAAACTTAGAACCGGTTATCGCCGCAATGCCAAATTATTAAATTTAAAGTAAATTTTCAAACCAGGCTAGTTGCCACTTTACTTCAAATTTGAGGGGTGTCTACTCTTACGGGTTGAGTTTTGTTTGGGTTGTTGCGGTATTACAATTTTGGAATCAACGATTTCTCATGGTTAGAATGGAAACGTTTTTAAATAGATTGTCCCATTATCTTTTTTAAGATAGTACAATTAAGCCAAAATAAACAAGCGCAAACTAAAAACGTAGCCAGCAGCTGTGAAACAATAGGAGAGTTACAGAATTAAAACGAAAAAAAAACTAAAAATAAAGAGAAAACTTTCGAGAACAAAGCCGACAAAATCTGGAAAATGTTCGTCGGGCCAAAAAATTGCATTTGGCATACAAATGCAAGGATGCTTTTAGTATTTCTCTGAAAATGATAACCTTGAAGAAGCCAGCAGATCATGGAGTTCTAGCGAGATCAAATGCAAAAATCTGAAAGTTCCGACTGCCCCTCACTGACTATTTAAAGTACAAAACTATGCTGCTCACAGCTAGCAACGTATAGATAGTTCCAATTAGCTTGGTTCAAATCAAATTGACACAATTTTTAAGCAGGAATAAGCCACTCTTATTTTTATTAAAACGAAAAATATTGCCCGTGAATTCTCCCGATTTAGCCATGTTTACCCTTGCACAGACAAAGGTATTGCAACCGGGCACTAAATTTGTTTCCTATAAACAACGTTGTCCACAGAATTCGCACGTGCAATACCACATGTCTTACTGCACAGATGTACAGACAGATGCGATGTGGCATGTGCATGTTAGGCATGGGCCTTGTATGCCTGTTATGAGTTCCTTTAAAAATTTTGCCGGTAGTTTTTCGGCACTTGGGTGTTAGCTTTAATTTTTTCAGCTCATTTTCCGAATCATTTTTTAAAATTACTTTTATTGGTTTTTATAAGATTGGTTAACGCCTTACAAAATGTTTTAAACAAATTTTAAACACTTTCCCAGACCCTTCCTAATAAAACTGAAAACTTTTTAAAAAAATTTTCGATTTTTTTTTAAAAAAATTTTAGAAAAAATTATTATTTTTTCGTTTTTGATTTCAGTTTGCACAAAAACTTTGGTTTTATTCTTTATGCTTTTGTTTGTTCAATCAGCTGTTTTTATCATAATTTTTTTCTGGTTCATTTTTCAGTTAAGTTTTTCTACAACAATTAAAAAATTGCTCTCATTGAATTTTAGCTCATATTGTTTTGAAAACTAGCTGTTTCAATTGAACCACCAGAACTAAGCAAGCCTGAATTGCTAGCAAATCGGATTTATTTAAATTCAAAACTTTTGATAATTTAAATTAAAATTGCTAGTCGAGTTCATCGTTTTAAAAAATCAAATAGGGTGGCTGTCGGCTAAAATTTTGTTCCTCCACTTTTATTGTGTTAGAAAAAATAAAAATAGAAACCAAGCAAGCTTCAAGTGCTATCAAATCAGAAATTTTTAATTTCAAATTTTTTGATAAATTTTTTCAGAATTGCTAGACAAATTTATTATTTTTCCTTTTTCTGTTTGCTTAATAGAAATTGTATTAACTTTTGTAAATTGTAATTCTGATCTGTTTTTGGGCGACATCTTTTCTACGAATAGTTCAATGGCACATTTTTTCCTTTAATATTTGGTAATTTTTTTTGTTTGATTTTTGGTAAATAGTTTTTTTTTCGGTCAACTTGTTCTTGCCTGATCGATCTTTTTTTTGGAAATGAAAATCGGCGTTTTTTGGCTTAATCTCTGTTCAAACCATTTGATTTTTCGAAAACAGTGTCTACTTCTTTTTCTTGTTTTTTAGTTGCATTCGTTTTTTTAGCGATCTAATTTTTGAACTAAAAAAATTTTTTCAAGTTTTTGAATTGTCGTGGAATTGATTTTCGAACGTTTTTTTGAAGTTTTTCATTTACGCTAGTGTTGTTTTTTTTTCAGATCACATTTGTTTCTATTTCAATCTGAATATATTTCAGTCTAGGCTTCTGAAAAAAAGAAAAATATTGTTCGGTATTTATATTTCCTGCATTTACTTATTCAAAACGTAAATGAGAGTTAGTGGTTTTTGGTTCTTTCATCAAGGCAGTTTACCAATGTCGCGTGTTTTCGGAATACTTCGATGCATAGCAGGAAGGTTTAAACAGAAAGTTCGAGTTTGTTGCTTATGCAATTTTAGAAAAAATGTTTCTGCAACAATTATACCTTTTAGATGGTATCAAAAATCTGTTAAAAAAGGCTAGTCAAAAAGTCGAGACTTAATGGAAGAAAAAAAGAAAAAAACACACCGAGCGCAATAGTTCCATCCTTTCTTCAAAGGTAGGAAAAATACTGTTCGAATTAGTTAACAACTTCTTTACCTCCGGATACGAATTTGCGCACATGTGTGGCGAGCACTCCGTCGTGCCATTCAAGTGTGTTCACATTGATTTCCCCGTACAGTTCTCCCATCGTAATACACTTGGGGTTGATTGACACAGTGTCACAACGACCCTTGCGACGCAGATGCTGAAAAAATACAAAAAAAATTGAGGAAAAATTGTGAGATTTATCGGTATCAAATTATGAAACATAACTTTTTGACGTTAGAGAAGCATCGAATATTAATTGCGCATAATTAAAATCGCTGCTTAGAGCAAAACAAAAAATTTTGATACAAATTTAAATAGCGTTTTTTTAGGGTTGTTTTGAAAAAAAACATCATAAAACACTCGATTATGCCACTTGCTCATTAGTCAATTCCATAAAATAAACACTTATAAAGAAAAAATGACCTCTTACCTTATTATGCAACTCATACTCATCGCAATCTTTATCCAAAGCGGGCAAATAATACAGTGCCTTTTGCAGAATATTCCTGACAACAGTTTTTCCCCCGGAAGTTGGACCCACCAGCATAACTCCATGTCTGACTAACAGTTGAGAGTACAATTGGACCACCTTTTCTCTTTGCGAGTTCCAACTTGTTACATTTAAGTCCATTATGGCCAAATTGATGGCCTTCTGAAGAACGACCTCGTTGGATTGAGGGGTCATGACCCCTGGGAAAAGATCAGCAAGGATGCCTTCGAATAGTGAGACGTCTTCGGCTATGAATTTGGGCAAGTTTGCGTCTTGCAGCGATGAAATAAGAATTAGAGATTCCTCTTCTTTCGTGAATTTGGCAACGTTTTTCCTGAAAAAAAAACAAATTGTTTTGCAGAAGTAACTTCATAAGCCAAAAATCATCTAAGCAGCCGCTTTCTATATTTTGTAAATGTGAAAAAAAAGGCGCGAGAGCAAAAAATTGCGATTGCTATAAAATTTCCAAATAGCACGACTATTTTCAAAATCATTGATTAAAAAAATCTCAAACAAAACTTCTTCGTTGGTTGAACACATTTTCTGAAACAACTGAATTTATTCCAAAAAGAGAAAAAAACGAAAACTTTTGACTCACGATATAATCATGTTGCTCTTTCTCTGCCCGGCCATGACCAACACGCTCTTAATGGCTCTCATTCCAAAGTCATAGTGGTCTTGTTGGGACAGTTGTCTGCTTGCCAGTTGGTACAGGTTGACTATCTTGGTAGAGAGGGGTTTGGCAGTGGAGAATCCGGCAGAGAACAGGATGATTTCGGCTATCAGGGCGTAGTCCGGAACCATCATTGCAACCTGCGATGTTAGAACTTATACAAAAACACTAAAAGTAAGTGTTTTTACATATACATAAAAAAATTTCTTCAATGAAAGTAATTAGATGAATACTTGTCAAGCGAAGAAAGATACTAGTAATTCCCGTGTTGCGTCGAGTTTTCGAATGTACAAGAAACAAATAATGAAACAATAAAGGTCCTTTGGTTTGGAAAAACCTTTACTATTAAAGTATTTTGATAAATTTCTTTTGTCTATTTCGGTGTTACGATGGCTACAGAAATTATATCGTTTTTTAATTTTTAGTTACCAGCAATTTACCCAAATGCAATATTGTTAGGATTTCCAACCTGTCTGAACAAGCTCTTTAAATTGTCCGGCAACTCCACCCTTCCAGCATACGTCGGATTCATAGTGATGAAATATCCACAAGTCAAGTTCAGTTTAATATCCTTCCCCTCAAACACCAGCCTCGAAGCCGAAACAGACTTAGCCGATTTGATACTTTGAATCTGTTGTGCAATCACACTTAGCACTTCGATGTCAATTCGGTTGAATTCGTCAAAGCACACCCAGGAACCTAAGGTTATATATAAGTGAAGGGGGTACATTTTTAGAATAAAATATGACATGCAACCTAAAAACCGGATCGTCCATTTGTACAAAGTCTCATTAAACTACTGTTATGATAGGAGTTATAACCTAATACTTAGATTCACACAAATTTTAAAAGACAACTTTTTTCTATTGTTGTTAACTGATTTTCAAAAATAAGTGCATTATACGTGTTGAAGTCCATACAACCATAAAGTGTACTGCTTATTCTGGTATATCTCCGTACCTGATTGGGCGATTCCACTGAAGAATTTGCCCATCATTTTGTAGTCAAGACTTTCGGAGCAGTTGAAGACGACACAGAATTTGCCAATGGTCTTAGCGAGGTCCTTCACAGTCTCCGTCTTTCCGGTTCCAGCTGGACCTGCAGGAGATCCACCGAGGTGCATGTGAAGGGCACTGGTCAATGTCATGTAACACCTAAGATAAGCTAAGCAGTGAAGAATTGAAGAAAATCGCAGAAAAAAATTGAGAACATTAAAGCAACTGAAAAAAAAAACCATAGAAAAACACGCTTTTTTTACTTCATGATTCAAGGTTAAATGATACTGAGAAACTAGTTCAAATCGGTCAGTTATAACAACCTTATTTTGCTATGTTGATGATTTACCTGTCTGTGAGTGGAGTGATGACTAATCTGGGGGAGCATCCGAGGTATTCGTCACCATAGTTAAAACAGGCCACCCCATGTCTGATCAGAATCACATGCATGTTGTCGTCCCAGGCAACCTTTATTTGTCTTGAAGGAGAGAAAATTTTTTTAATTCATTAAATTTGCGACTTGATGTTAATTTTAGCTCAACTATTGGAGAGAAAATTTTTCACAAACATCGTCAGATGACTTGATGAGCTATAGATTGATATCGACATCTAAATCTAGACTGAGCTTTGATAAACTTCTGGTATTTTCAAGGCAACAATTTTTTTTTTAAAAACTTAGTTTGAGCTATGACACAGGCAAACCTGAGCTTCGCACCATTTGCGATAAGGAAATTAACGACTATAATTACAAGCAAACAAAAAAAACAAATCAAAAAATGAGGAGGTTTTTTAAAAAAAATTATTGTCAAAAAAGATATTAAAACTGCAAAAAGAAACGAATGATTCCTGGAACAAATATACGTGCACCATTAAAAACTTAACAAAATAATCTAAAATAATCAAAAATTTTAAATTTCCACAAAAAAAAAATTAAATCCCGAGTGGAATCGAACTTCCAGGATTTGTCGTCTCAAGTATGGGTAAAACCACTGCACCAAATACTTGGAACACTCCTTAATTTTATACAGAAAACAACTTCCAAAGTTTTTCGGCAAAACTTCTCGGAACTCAATTACTTGCTCAAAACCGGAATACAATGAAATGGTTATTAATTTAAACAAAAATGACTAACATGCAAGCAGACAAACTAAAGTCTGACAAATATTTTTTGACGCGCATACAATTTTCCGTTTCGAAAAAAAAACATTTACTGGCCATATTCGAACCAATGACCTTTGTCTTTATAGGAATATGCGTAAGCTCTTCACCACATGCGCGAATTATCATCTGATTTTTGATTTTATATGAACCAAAGGTATAACGATTCAAATGATTATGTTAAAGTAGTTGTTAACCCGAAGATTATCTTCACTATAAAAACATCGATAACATAGCATGCCACTCAAGCAATAGCGAGTAAAAGTAAGCACAAATCTATTTCTGTGAAAAGAAAAAAAATTATATATTTTATCGTTTTAACTTATTGTTTTCAATTTGTTTTACAGAGGCGAAGCTGTGTTTTGCAAACACTAGCGGGAACACGAAAAAACGCAGCTCTATAAAGCGCAATAACAAAAAGAAGAAATATGTCTTGCAATAGTGAAAATTCGGCTACGCTTCACAGTTATTTCTGTGAAAAGAAAAAAAATTATATATTTTATCGTTTAAACTTATTGTTTTCAATTTGTTTTTCAGAGGCAAAGCTGTGCTTTGCAAACACTAGCGGGAACCTGAATAAACGCAGCTCTATAAAGCGCAATAACAAAAAAAAGAAAAATGTCTTGCAATAGTGAAAATTCGGCTACGTCTCGGATTCGATCTCCGACGTAGAGATTATGAGTCTCACGCATTAGCCACTCAGCCACCAACGCTTATTAAATTACAAACACATTCCACAAATAAAGCGAACAACAGATGCTATGAAATTTCCAATGCTACAGATCGTAATTATAGCAAAATTACCATCAAATAAGTGAAAACATTTAATGAACAAGTTAGGTGAGGGAAAAAAAGAAGGTTCGTACTAATACACCAACGCTCGCAAGCTTGCCAATGTAGAAAAGTGTCTGAGAAGTTGATTTTACGCTTATGAACATGAATTGTCAAAATTGAGTCTTTATAAAATACCGAACTTTACTAAAACTTGTAGAAAAAAACGTTCGATAAATAAACTGACATAAGTAAGGCCGACATCCAATAAATTGAAAAAATCCGAAATTTTTTCAAAAAAAAAACAATCACAAGACTTGCAGTAATACTTAAAAATCAATTACAATCGCTGATTAAATACTACATGTAAGATGTAGGTGGTACATTACAAGAAACTTAGAAATTGTAAATTCCTAAATTGAACATAACGGGAACAAAGTTATTTAGGGGCAAAAACTCTATTACTCGGTTGCAATACCCATGGTTGTCGCAAGGGCACTAAACATCTGTTGGTTTCGCCGAAAAAAGCATATTGTTTTCATATTTCGCTGAACTTGGAGGAACAACAAAACGTTCAAAAACAAACATTCTCACCTAGTCCAGTCAAATTCATTCACGTTGCTCACTCCTCCCTTGATCAAGCCATGCAGAATATCCCTCGAGTGTACAGACACAGTCAACAGAGCCTCAATTGCAAATCTGTGATGTATGGACAGAGGCTGGGACACTAGTTGGGTCAATTGAGTCAGCTGGTCCACTAGGGTGCTGCAGTAGACATTCAGGGCCGTCTGGGGGGCGGGGGAGTTGAGAGACTCTTCGACCGCGTTGCAGAACAACAGTTGGAACTAAACATGATATGCTCTACAATTACTACAGAACGGAAATCAATTTAAAATACTGGTTTCTACGTTTTTTCACCGGCAAGTAATTTGATTTTTCAAGGCCTCCTTCACACTTTTAAAAAAAATTGCTGCAATTTTTACGGTACCACGAGTAATTTTTAGATGAAGATTATCGATAAAGTACAAATCGAAAAATTTCCAGCAAAAATGATGGACAGCTTGCAACTAAAAAATAAGTAAAAAACTTACCACAGCAAGTACGACCTGTCCGGGGTTCTTGACCACCCACTGAGTGAGTTCCATCTCCCCATAGCCTTTGAGTCCCTGTCTGGTGTGTTTCCTCACAGCCTCCAACATGCCACTCTCCACACTTCCCAGCCACGTCTCCACTGCCCCACGCACTCGGATGGACTTGGTCAGGTTCAACACTTCGCCTAAGGAAAAAGGGTGGTATAGAAACCAGCCAAAAATACGTAATTTTTATATAAGAGTTATGTAAAAATTATATAACAGTTTAAAAAATCATGCACAATTCGATCATATAGCGTAACTTTTCGGCTGGATTGAGCACTCTCCGCTTTTTCGGTGGGTTTATACTTTTTTTACACTGGTTCGGTTGGTTTATACTTCGGCTGGAAAAAAACTCGGTCAGTCTATTTCTATTATATTATCCGGATTTTGTCGACTAGGGGTAGTGATATACTAAATTACTGATTGCAATTATGCATAGTTTGTATGGTATGTTCGACATTGAATGCTAGATGTTGTGGGTCGACGCTGATCTTTGTTTCGTTACCTGATGTTCGGTTTAATGATTAAAGAAACTTCAGTTCATCTATTTTTTATATAGTTCTGTATGGTCGCTGTGAGAATAGCAGAAGAGAGAGTAATTACTCAAACGCCTTTTGTCATAACTCCAATCATATTAAACTGGTTAACATGTTGGCAGTGAAGTGCGCAGAAATTTTTTTAGGGGGCAGTTTTTCGAAAATTTTTAAAAATTTTGCGGACCTTTTTTTAGGTCGATTAATTTGATTGTATAAGCTCTCGAAAAATACTATGGTGATCCTATTTCCTCCAGGCAAATTTTTCAAAAATCAGGCAAAAAATGGTCTTTTTGGGCACTTTTTGGAAAATTTTGACCAAAAAATTACGTTTTTTTCGGCGCGCGTTCTCCCCCTCCCCCCAAAAAAAATTGAGGTTGGTCGGCCAAACATGGATGTCGTAAAGTTATACAAACATGGATGTCCTAAAGTTATGCTAGTTGGCCAATTGAAGATAAGCCCCAACTCAAAGCTGTTTTTACCAACAGTAATGGTAGTCTTTCTAACCAGGGTAGAGATCTCATGTAAAATAACCTGATTGTCTTATGATTGATTCAGATTTTTGCGCAGTTTCTTCGTTGATTTTAGTTTTCGAGATCTCAGCAATAAGCTCTACTTCAATGCTAAATTGTAGGAAAGATTGCATATCGACGTTTCGTATCCTCAAACTCTAATTACTTTAGTAGAAGTCCTTTGAATTCTGCTGATCTTAACCGACCCAAAAACGATTCCTTAAAATACAAGTTTTTTAGACGAGTGATTTGTTGAACTGAAACTTTTTCAGTATCGAGTAGTTTCACGAACACTTTTTAAAAAAGTTGAGCTCAGAAACGTTTTGACTGTAACTTTTTGAGAACAAGTTTGCAAATTCGGCAACAACGACACGTTCTCTGTCTGCAGTGAAAATGCACTTTATTGTAGATGTCAGTGAACACGATCTCTTAAAGGCTGCAAGCAAAATTAAACTTCTCAACTTCAAGATTGCTGGTCCTCTTTTTGTCTGCGGATTTTGTTCCTTATACAGTTTCTGTTATTTAAAATGTCTAAGCATGCAATTATACGGAAAGCAGTCAGCCAGATAAATGGTGCCTCAAGATGGTTCATAGTTCCAAAGAACTGTAGACGTATAAAAATAATTATAGATAATAAATCAAATATTCCACCTCTAGCTTTTAATTGTTCATATACAAGTTCAGTAACAAACAAAAATGCGGAATCCACTTACAATTTGCGGAATCCGCTTACATTTGCAGATTCCGCAAACAAATTTTGCGGATTCCACTTACATTTGCGGATTTCACTTACCTTTTGCGGATTCCACTTACATTTCGCGGAATCCACTTGCAGTTGCGGAAACCAGAACAACTAGCTATATTTGCTTGTTGCGGAATGCGCAACAAAACAAATGTGCCGACAAAATTTACGTTACAGGTATATGTATGCGGAATCCACTGAAATTTTGTTTGTGGAATCCACTTAGATTTTGGATCATATTTTAAAACTTATCTCTGGAATCCAGGAAAATACAGACACAAAATTGTGCTCCTATCCAGTGCACAGTTTGGCCTCGTAATGGTTGTAATCTCATGTATTATCATTAACTCATAAAGGTTTAGCCCGATTGAACAAAAAAAAATCCATCGAAAAGTTGTTGATAAATTTCGTTATAACAGCCTCAGACACCAACGTAATAATTCAAACCTTCAGCAGATATCATCTGGGACACTGTGAACGTCTGCTTGTTCGCGGATGAAGTCATGTCCAGGGCCTTCACATTGCTGAAGCACTTGACCAAGTGGGGCTAAAAAGGAAAGTGTTTCTAGCCTGCCAAATCTATTTTCTGGATATCATCAAAAATAATTAAAAATTTTTGCAAAAACCAACTCTTGTCGTTTTGAAATTATCAAAACTATCACCACAATTTACTAATCAAACAATTTTACAACCCTAATAAAAATCTTTTCACTTCAATATTACCTGTACTGCGAATGGGTCCTTGGACTGCGCCAGAATATCCAGCAGTTCGTCATTGCTGAGGAAGTAGAAGCGAGGAAAAACCAGTCGCTTAGTCTCCAAGTAGTCCTGACAAAAAACGTAAATTTTGATAAAGAAATTAAAATTCAGAATTAAATTATTTAATCAGAACAGAAGTGCAGTTAAATTTGAGGAACTTAAGGAGAGGCTCTTACTAGAAACATTTTTGTGGCTAATTATATACAGTTGTTGCTCTATCATCAGAGCTAGAAAATTGCAAAAAAAAACAAATAATGAATCAACTGTGATTTGCACATAAGCCGACAGAGAAATCACTATCTAGCCATTGCGAATGGTTGTTCTGACCATTGAAAATAGAGAGGAATTTTGTATTCGAGTGTTTTACTTTTTTCTTTTTTTTTCACGCAAAATCAGGTACCACAAACAAGCATCGGACTGGGTTGAATGACATATCATTTTAAAGCCCTTCCAGTCGTGATTCGAACAACATTAAGAAATTCACAAAAAAAATTTTCCTAGTGTCGAGAAAAACCGGTTAGAAAATTTTGTTTTTTTTATCCAGTTTCGAGCGAGTGAGCAGAGCTACAGCTTATTTATGCTTTTTTGAAAATTTTTTTAACCATTGTTTTTAGTTTTTTTTAATAATTTTTCTACAAAAACTGTTTTTTCAATTTGTTTTACGATGACTGTCAAATATGCCTAAGTTCTACTTTTTCGTTCAGATCCTTTCATCACACCACACAGAAATAAGCGACACTAATTTGAAAAAAAAACTTTCGTATTTTTTCAGACTTTACGTGCACAGTAACCGGCAATCTTGTTAAAGTTCGAATATGTTTTTCAGTCGAAAATTAATTGTAAAAAATATCATGGGATCGAAAATTTTGTAACTTTTGAATATATAAGCAAATGAAAATTATCCAATTTAGAGTCAAAAAAGGAAAATTAAACTTGAAAACAATAAAACTTAGCGTTGTGGCGCATCGGTTGTGATGGTGCCCAGCAATAAAATGATTGCCGGTTCAAATCGCACACACGCTGTAATTTACAATGTGAGCTCGTGCAAGACAACCATAACTTTTAACTTTAAATAATTAACCTCGCGGCTATGCCTCTGGATGGTTAACTTTAGAAGGGCAAAATTTTCAGACCTCCAAACACTGCAGTATCTTTTCCAGGTTCCCGTTGCTGGTCTGCAGGATCTCAATTGTGCCTGGAATGGTGGCTGCCTGCAGTGCATTCGGTCTGTCCTCTGTGCGCCTCATGATGTCCTTGAAGTTCTTGTCTACCATCGAGAACAGTCTAGAAATAGAGCGAATGTTCTAGAAGAAGAAGGAAATCAGGACAATATGAAGCATATATATGTCAACCTCAAGGGTCTTTGAATTGGAACTAGAATCAAGCCAGCCATCCAAAAATCCAAGATTTGCTCCTACTCTACCATAGATATCACTGTGTAACATTTTCCAATCAAGAATCAATTTTAGTATAATACCAGTAATATCATATATTCCTGTGTTTCAAACAAAGAGTTAACCATCTCTGGGCAAATGTTCAAGCTAAATTTTTGAAACGCAAAAATGTTCCTTATTTGAAACTCAAACTAAAGTAATCTGCAAATTTTATCTCCCAGCCGATTAACATTAAGTTCTTCGGTATTTTTCAAGTCTGTAATTATCAAGTATTGGGACATGTTTTAATCCCAAACAGCCAAATTATGCACACGAAAAAGGACGCAGATTGCATATGAAAACTACCTCCACTCATTGGGCAGCTGCCTCTGGATGTCTGGAGTGTTGAATATCTGTTCCAGATACACCCAGTTCCTCTGACATGTCATCCACTCATCCAGTGCACGCGCGAACTGGATCAACTTCCTTTCCCACTCCTCGACTGAGTTCTTGATCGGCTCCACGAATCGAGATCCACGAATGGTGCCTGGAAAGTATTTGAAAATCAAAAACAAATCAGAACCGGATAAGTATGAAAATTTGCTAATTGTGACTTCCTATACAGAAGTAAGAGATTTCAACGCGGAGTAACAAAAACTCAGAAGTCTAACAGAATTCTTTTTTCTTTCAGAGTTTTTGTTACTCAACGTTCAGCGAGATGAAATTGAAAACAACTAATTGGCAGAATTGAATTAAGTCTAATTTCAAAAACTCTAAAATCAAACCAATTTTTTTGTTACTTTAGAGTTTTTGAAATTAGACTTATTTCAATTCTGCCAATCAGTTGTTTTCAGAATCAACTCGTTAATATTTAGGTCTCTATAATTCAGAATGTCGAAACCACCTTTTTCACTAATCGTCCAGAAAAATGAGCCAAATAATTACGGATTTCCTCGACAGGAGAAACAGAGATACAAACGGTTGTTCTCTAGAATTAAACTGTCCTTGTGTATAATTGCAAAACAAACTAAAAATTATACTGATAAATTGCGAATCTTTCCAGGAATCCCATTCATAAGTTTAATTCGACTGCTTCTATAATAATAATGGTTCCAAGACTGACCTATAGTGACCTGACACTCTTCTAATTGAGTCAGTATGTCATCTGCCCCTGCTAGCATCATGATGCCCTGCTGAGGGTGTGGCACTAGTCTGAACTCAGTGGCACCCCAGAGTTCAACTACTTTGTTCAGCATCTGTTCAAGCGTGGCTTCGTTTGTAGCTCTGGTGGAGATGTCACTGATGGCTTGTTTGTGCATCATGGCCTGCAGAAAAAAAAACATATTATCCAGAAATTTTCTCAAGTTCGTCAGTTTTCTGATTTTCCGAAAATATCATTTCTAATTACTTGACAAAATCGAACCGAATTCAAAATAACAAGAAAAGTAATACAATTCGAACACATTCCAAAAACGCTTCGTTTAATTTTTGGCAGTATTTACAAAAATCTTGCAAAAAAACTCGAAGATCTTTATGTTTTTTGTCTAATTGCACCATATTGAATTCCTGTGACAATAAGGATCACAAATGTGTCAACCTTGGTCTCCAGCAGATTCCCCAAAGTGAACGCGTATTCTGTGATGCTCGAACTGCCCACCAAGTCATAGATCAACCCCCAATGTCTCTCTCTCAAGTTGGGGTTCCTCAGGGCGGCTATGAGGGGCATGAGGGTCTTGAACCCAGACACTCGTTCACGCAGTTGGGGGAGGATCTCATTGGCTGGAAGACCTACAACAAAATATCATATCACCCAAAACATCATTCTTATTTTAAATATTTTTATTCATTACAACGTAAGCATATGTCAGTCATGCGCGTACAAACAATCACCGTGTTGAACCACGGGGTTCCCTTACAAAAAAAAAACGTTTTTAAACTTTATAAAAAACTGATTTTTCAATGAAAAGTTTCATGCCAGCAATTTATTCTAAAAAATAATCCTTTTGATCGCTAAAAAACTCAACAAAGTAAAAATTTAACAGCAAATTAAACACTAAGTTTAAATACTGAGCTTCAAATTCAATAAGGTACTTCGTCATGACCAAAAACAATGGATTCCGGTCATTATCAAAACAGGTGTAGCAGACTGTTGATATGGCTCTTGCCTTTTTCCAGCATGAATATAGTCTGGTTGAACTTGTTCACGTGTTTCTGGACAGCATCCACCACTATCTCCACGAAGGGTGTGTGGGTCCAGTCGAAGATCAACTCCCCCCACTCCTCTTGCGACTCCCACAACATCCTCCTAATAAGCAAAGGAAGATCAGGTGATTTAGTGGTCTTTAAAGGCTCGTTGAAACCATACATCAACGTAATTAAGGAACCACTTATAAGCTGTTTAGATCCTTTACGAAGAGCCACTGTTGATTACTTGATTGAAACTTACATGCAATATTCCTATTTGTGAACAGGGAAAACATATTTGCAATGAGGTTTTTTTTTGCCATTTAACAAATTTTATGAGAAAAAAGTAAAATGGCAGAAAAGAATTGTGAGGCTATTCTCATAGCCGAGGATTGGAAATGTTCTCTGAATCAACTTTTTAAACTGTCATTAATTGACTGACTTTCAAGCTTGTGACTATTGATTAAATAATTCAACTTTCGGCTATTCAGTCACTATAAAGATTTCCACAAAGTTTCCACTAGCCTGCTATTTTGGTCAAATTTGATTCCTTATGAATCGTAGATTGGAAAAGAGTAATGAACGCGAGTAAAAATTTTAAAAAAAACACTGACTTTTTTGAAAAAAATCTCAACTTTCAAATTTCAAAGAAAAAAATAGATACCCTTTAAGCTCTTTGAATTTTTAGAGCGATTTATGGTTGGCGCTTTTTTGATAACATTAGCCCAAATTAAGAAAACTAGATCAACAGGTAAAATTTTTATTCCGCTGGAAATCTAAAAATTAAATTCCACTTTCGAAACTAGTTTTTTCGAGCCATTTCCACGTATTTGGAGAGTACATCTGTAGTTATTAGAGTATTTTAGGAATTTTTCCTGGAAAAAAAACCAAAAAAATCACCAAGACTTATGAAAGAGTCTTCACTACGTTCATTACTCTTAAAATGATGTAATAAAAAACTAAACAAAACCAGAGCTTTCATATTCTAACAAAAAACGGCCGATGACCCCTTGATAACTATACGTTCATGTGTAGTTTATGCCGAAATGTTGGCAATATTGGTGGCCTTGAGCAATTCAATCGGTCAAAAAGTAAAGTATTTTAGATTAATTAGTTTTTAACACAGTTTTTATGAGTGGGAATTAGTGATAAACTGAAACTCGACGTCAGAATGAGCAATTTTAGGTTAATTGATTTCGTTCAGATTCGTTGACCGAAAAGGACCGAGTTGACCAAAAATTCTAATCATGCAAGTTCCATTTATGAAAATTTTTTTGTCATAAAATCCCATGGTTATTATATGAAATCTCTCTGATAAACATTTCTCCATACATGAAAGTTATTATTTTTCCGAGTTGCGCTAAAAATGTATGGGTTTTTGACTAAAATTAATAACCAAGGGTTATCTTGCATCAGAAAACTCACTGGTTGAGGCGAAGAATTCTCACAGTATGAGATAAGGTTTCATCATAGTTCACTCAGAAAATACTTTTAGTCGAAAATACTAGACAAAAATCGTGCCCGGATTGTTTTGACAAATTCTTACTATATCAAAGCATAAAATATCAAGGTTGGATTTGAATAAAAAATCAAAGTAAATTTAAATGTTAAATTTAGCCTGGACTACGTTATAAACAAAAATATGACATTAACGTTATAAACAAAAATATGACATTTTTGCATGCAATTTTTTTTCAAAAAATGTTCATTTGAGCATAAAAGTGTTATGGAGACAAAAAAAATTCTCTGAAAATTGGACATTTACTTATTTTTACTAACTTCGTATATGGAAATTGAATGATAAACGATTTTTCCATACCCTCTCTCATTGTACGGAATTAAATGGCAGACATTTTTCTTGTATAGAATTGTATGATAAGCATTTTTTTACGTGTATGTAGGTTTACCAGAGTATATTAGAAACAATTTGGCATTAACTATAATAATTGCATATTTACGCTAGAAACAATATGAGCTATCATAATGCACAAATTAGGGATTCACTCATAGGCTAAGTATGTTCAATCAAAAACTTTTTTTTAATTCTTGCTGATATTTCGCACAAAATTTCGGTTGTTTCGATCTACTTATATGCCAAAAAGGTCTTTTTTCCCTTACATTTTTTTAAAAACACTTACTGATATTTCGCACAAAATTGTGGTTGGTTAGATCCACTCTCAAGCATTGTCATCGCTTTTTAAAAATCGCTTTTTGCTTAAATAAATGCACCGCTTATTCACTAAAACCTTTTTAAGCATGTTTTGCTATCAGGGTTTTTCCATTATAGGAAAAAAAACTCAGAACAGACAGGTTTCCGATTTTCGAACTTCTAACAATTGCCATTTAACAAATTTTAATAGAAAAAAGTAAAATGGCAGAAAAGAATTGTGAGGCTATTCTCATAGCCGAGGATTGGAAATGTTCTCTGAATCAACTTTTTTAACTGTCATTAATTGACTGACTTTCAAGCTTGTGACTATTGATTAAATAACTCAACTTTCGGCTATTCAGTCACTATAAAAATTTCCACAAAGTTTCCACTAGCCTGCTATTTTGGTCAAATTTGATTCCTTATGAATCGTAGATTGGAAAAGAGTAATGAACGCGAGTAAAAATTTTAAAAAAAACACTGACTTTTTTGAAAAAAATCTCAACTTTCAAAATTCAAAGAAAAAAATAGATACCCTTTAAGCTCTTTGAATTTTTAGAGCGATTTATGGTTGGCGCTTTTTTGATAACATTAGCCCAAATTAAGAAAACTAGATCAACAGGTAAAATTTTTATTCCGCTGGAAATCTAAAAATTAAATTCCACTTTCGAAACTAGTTTTTTCGAGCCATTTCCACGTATTTGGAGAGTACATCTGTAGTTATTAGAGTATTTTAGGACTTTTTCCTGGAAAAAAACCAAAAAAATCACCAAGACTTATGAAAAAGTCTTCACTACGTTCATTACTCTTAAAATGATGTAATAAAAAACTAAACAAAACCAGAGCTTTCATATTCTAACAAAAAAACGGCCGATGACCCCTTGATAACTATACGTTCATGTGTAGTTTATGCCGAAATGTTGGCAATATTGGTGGCCTTGAGCAATTCAATCGGTCAAAAAGTAAAGTATTTTAGATTAATTAGTTTTTAACACAGTTTTTATGAGTGGGAATTAGTGATAAACTGAAACTCGACGTCAGAATGAGCAATTTTAGGTTAATTGATTTCGTTCAGATTCGTTGACCGGAAAGGACCGAGTTGACCAAAAATTCTAATCATGCAAGTTCCATTTATGAAAATTTTTTTGTCATAAAATCCCATGGTTATTATATGAAATCTCTCTGATAAACATTTCTCCATACATGAAAGTTATTATTTTTCCGAGTTGCGCTAAAAATGTATGGGTTTTTGACTAAAAACAATAACCAAGGGTTCTCTTGCATCAGAAAACTCACTGGTTGAGGCGAAGAATTCTCACAGTATGAGATAAGGTTTCATCATAGTTCACTCAGAAAATGCTTTTAGTCGAAAATACTAGACAAAAATCGTGCCCGGATTGTTTTGACAAATTCTTACTATATCAAAGCATAAAATATCATGGTTGGATTTGAATAAAAAATCAAAGTAAATTTAAATGTTAAATTTAGCCTGGACTACGTTATAAACAAAAATATGACATTTTTGCATGCAATTTTTTTTCAAAAAATGTTCATTTGAGCATAAAAGTGTTATGGAGACAAAAACAATTCTCTGAAAATTGGACATTTACTTATTTTTACTAACTTCGTATATGGAAATTGAATGATAAACGATTTTTCCATACCCTCTCTCATTGTACGGAATTAAATGGCAGACATTTTTCTTGTATAGAATCGTATGATAAGCATTTTTTTACGTGTATGTAGGTTTACCAGAGTATATTAGAAACAATTTGGCATTAACTATAATAATTGCATATTTACGCTAGAAACAATATTAGCTATCATAATGCACAAATTAGGGATTCACTCATAGGCTAAGTATGTTCAATCAAAAACTTTTTTTTAATTCTTGCTGATATTTCGCACAAAATTTCGGTTGTTTCGATCTACTTATATGCCAAAAAGGTCTTTTTTTCCCTAACATTTTTTTAAAAACGCTTACTGATATTTCGCACAAAATTGTGGTTTTACTGATATTTCGCACAAAATTGTGGTTGGTTAGATCCACTCTCAAGCATTGTCATCGCTTTTTAAAAATCGCTTTTTGCTTAAATAAATGCACCGCTTATTCACTAAAACCTTTTTAAGCATGTTTTGCTATCAGGGTTTTTCCATTATAGGAAAAAAAACTCAGAACAGACAGGTTTCCGATTTTCGAACTTACGTGCTATCATTTTTAGTAAAATGCGGGAAGTTGGAAAATTCAAACCGCATTTCCCCTTTGTTAATGCGTTGGAAAATTTGCGATCACTTTTGCTGATTTCACTTACACTCCTTGGTCGTCCGCTTTTCTTACCACTGAGCCTTTAAACGGGACAAAACTCTGCTCATAAGCCAAGTATGTCCTACTTCTCAAACAAACTTTTTAAAATCTCTTTCTGATATTTCGCACAAAATTGCTGTTTTTTTTACCTGAGGGTAAGATCTCTCTCTATCTCGTTCAGTTCCGACTGGACTGTCTGTGCACTCACTTCAGAAGAGTAGGCACTCACATGACCATCGCTGAAACAAACATCAATAAGTAATTTGTTCAACAACTGTAGATTTCATTCAATCAAATGAAACTCGTAGAGTGATCAGACGTTTGTTCAATAAATGGACAACCATTGAATGATAATACAAATCATATCACAAATATCAACATAAAAAAAGACCAGAAGAAAGAGCACTAACAATCAGACACCATAAATTTCAAAGGAAACTTTTCATAAATTTCAAACAAAATTTACTAAGACCATTTATCGCAGGAACATTTTGTTTTTGCTTTTTAAAAACTTTAATAGACAAATGAAATATTTTGTTTGGTTTGAATGATTAAAAGTTGCCAAATTTGAAACAAAGTTATTATTTGATTTAATAGACAAAAGAGACATTGAACAGGCGTAAATTTTTAATAAAAAAGGATAATCGGTTGCTGAATGATTAACATATAATGTTCCGACCACAAAAATTTCACTAGAACGAATAGAAAAAAGAGCGATTTTGAAAATCGATCAAAATCAACAGTTTGGATTTTATTTAAAAAAAATTCGAAATGTTTTTATTTATTTTTTTTGAGGGAGCGGATTTAATTCGATAAAATATGGGGAAAAACCCTAGGATTATACCTGACATATCATTGAAAATGAAGTAGAATTAAATTGGAAGTTCCTTCTTTTTCACATTCTTTTGCGTGAAGTACAAATTTTTCTCGACACAGACAATTTAAAAAAAGTTAAAATCCGAAGAATCACTCACATGACTGCAAGGGCTTTAACACGATATCACACTTGATCCCTACAAAATTCAATTGGGGATATCGACTCAGGAAAAAAAATACAGGGGCGTTCTGAACAAGAATTTTAAATAGAGGTTGAACACATATCAGCTCAAAAAAGTTTGAACATTCGAATAACACGGTTGCAGTTGCAGTCTTAGAACAAACCTCTCACCTTGTTAACAACGCCAATAGATAGCTAAAAATTTCACAAATGAAGTGAGTTCTCAGTTTTCTCACTTTCTATATTATATAAAGGTTCACCATTCTGCAAATGTAATCTGAAGCCACAAGATGAAATTGGAGGGTGAATTTGATTAAAAAAATGAAAAAAAAAATTCAAAAAGTTAGAAATCGTACGTAATTATTAGAAATTACCGCATTATTTCATAATTCGGTTTCGTTACAACAAAGTTATAGTTTGACCTTTATATTTGAAAAGATGCAGTTCTCAGCAAAAAAACAAGCAGAAAATCTTTATTTAAAAAAAAATGGAGTTCACGTCCTGACATTAAGCCTCCTAAAAATTCCTAGTAACTATTTAAAATGGTACAAATTTTAGTCAATGCATTTTTAAAGGCTTTATTCTATTTACTAATTGAGCTAAAAGAGAGTCTCACTCCGCGTTTTTCTTCTTGGAGGAGAGGGTGGATCCGAATCTCTCCTGGTAGCTGGAGTAGCTCCTCGCAGCACCCGTCAACTTCTCAATCTCCTCTGTCAGAAGTCTACAAACAGAACATATCAAAAAGTAAAGCACAAAAATTGAATTCTAATAGCTATTGGCCAGTTTTGGCTCGATATGAGAATAAAACAAGACTGCTGGAATCAGACTGAAGCTCCAAGTCCTTCTAACTTCGAATCAAGAACATAAAAAATTCAGTTGTTGAGTCAATCGGTCAGAAAAATCTACACAGAGTTATCCTTGCACAAATTTCTTCAATAAATAGTCAGTTCATAGTCATCAAATCATCTGAAATATATTATCTGAAAATTATTAGTCGTCTGAAATATAGTAACTGTGATGCCTTATTTTGTGTGGGAAACAACACGCCCAAAAACAACGTTCTTCCCCACTCGTGGTCAGAACAAAAAACAACCATTTTCAAAAAAAAACTGCTCGTATCAGGGCGAAGCCCTGAATATTCCGACTGCCTTTTAAGGTTTATGAAGCAGTAAGTAGTATTGTATCGTGTCCCGGATCCTAAGGGGGGGTCCTTCCTAAGGGGGGGGTCCTCACGTAAAGCAAAATCCTAGGAAAGGGGTCCTTAATTTTTTGGAGGACCCCTATCCTAGGATTTTGTAAATGATCGCAAGTTCCCACCCCTAAAGTAAAAGACCCCCTCCTTAGGATCTTGTTAAGCTGAGCTCAACAACCGGGACGCGATACAATAATTCCTTCTAATTCCTTTGAAAGCGGTCCCTTTTCCCGCGATAATTAAAATTAATCGTCCTAATTCCTGAACTTTTCTTTTTTCGTCCTAGTTTCATGTGGATATCATTTCCTGGCTTTCTTTCTTTTCGTCAAAGATTTGTCATGCTATTAAAGTTTATTATTCAAAACAAGCCTAAGGATTTCACACATTTGTTTGAATTAACACTTGGTTTGTGTCTACTAGTTTATTTGCCTGAAGCTATTTATGTTAAAACAGTGATTGAGCTCAATACGAGTATTTTATTAGTTGTAAATTGGTAAAAACCAAAACATATACAAGTCGAAGTATAAAAAGGACGAAGAGTAAAAATCATCTGAAAATATATGTTTCAGACTTTAATGTTTATTGTTTTGGTTTTCTTTGCGGTGTTTTTTAGATGGTCGTTCTTCTGAAGCTTCAGATAAAATAAATGGGTTTTTTATAGGGGGACGTTCACGGACTCGGCTACTAGAAGCTTCTTCTTCTTCTTGCAGCTCTGCTTCTGAGTAGGGCCGCTGTAAAAATCCCCAATCCGGGAGTGTAAAATCGGGAGAACTGTTATCAGTTTCATTGTATGAGTTGGCCCACTCGGTGTCCATGTAAATGTCTTCTAGAAAAGCATTTTCTTCAGCGGCTTTATGGCCAAAGGGCACTGTCGAAATTCCGTCGAAAAGTAGAAAACGTTTTGAGTCGAATGGTGATAATGCAAGTTTGTTTTGTTTCACTGTCATATTGGTGTGACCTTTCGAAACTATATTATAGTTGTATACTCTCATTGTTTTTCCAGTGAATAATGTGTCCCTGAAGGTTTGGTGGACCAGTTCTCTCTGTGCACTCCGTTTAATTCCTTTGGCACTCAATTTTTGAGTGCCTTCTAAACAATAGCAAAATTATTATTCTTTTCTACAACGTTGGGGATAGCTTCATTTCACTTCAGCAACTCAATTTATACCGAACAAAATTTGATTCATTTTACCAAAAAAGAGCAGAAGACTCTAAATTATGATTAAAAAAGAGGAAACAAGAGGGAATATGTTGTCAGATAAATCAACGTTTAGGCAACATTGTATAATGTTGCCTAAATCAGCTAAATGCCCATAGTTTAATGCAACAAATTAAGGGGTGTAGGTAGGTTGGTGGTGGTATTTTTGTTCTGTAAAAGGTAGGAATGGGGGGTGGAAGGGTGGCTTAAATTTTATTTACCATTAAGGACGACCGAATATAGTTTCGGTTTTAGGGCGATGAATTCTCTGATCGGCTTCCCACCAGTCTCGTCTTTGAACTTCAGCACAACTTTCTTGTTGGTATCCTCGAACAAGAAATGGTCCTTATCGTAATTTGAAAAGTCGAAATCAGCTTTTATTTTCTCCAAGTCTCGGTAAACGTCATCAGTTTTTATGGCGTAAATAAAACTATCCGTGTCGGAGTAAAGGAGTTCCAAGTTTAGATTTGGTTTCATTTTTTGATAGTGAAACTGAAACATGAAACGCTTGGCGAGGTCTAGGATGGTCGCACCAACTATCATAGGTTTATCCCACAATATTTTTGTTACTGAAAAGCTAATTGTGGCTAATTGATCGTCAATGATTTGAAAGCTTTTCATTGTGCTCAGAGCTGTTTTTTGTAAAAGTTCTCTCTCATTCCTTACAATCTCCAGCTTCTTTCTTCCTAACTTAGACTCCATTGTCTTACCGAAAGCTGAATTAACAATTAGCTTGTAGAAGTTCTCCTGGAATTTATTTACCGCGGCTTTTCGTAGGCGGGTGTTGAGGTCGACAAAGGGTGCCATCCAGTGACTTTGGCGGAACTGAAGAACTTTTCCGAGGTGAGTTATTTTCATTCCTAGCTCATGGTACAATTTTAGGGTAAGGTAGTGCAAAACATAACCTTCTTTAGGATGCAAGGTCTGTAGAAGCTTTGGCACTTTTGGCAGTGTGGTGATTCCCAATTTTCCCAACATGTCGACTTGCTCGTTGCTCATTGCACCGATGTCCACTACTTCACGAGAGGGGGCAAGGGGGTAATCAGCAAAGAAGTCGTGAAGCTCTTCGGGTATGGTTAAATTGACTTCAACTATATAACCCCATTCTGATGTTTCGCTGGTGAGCAGTATGTCTGCCAGACTTTTTTCAACTATTGAAAAATCGTTTAAGGGCAAAGGGCAGTGTTTCATTATCCCCCCGTACAAATTGTTTGCATCAATATTGAGGATGTAGCTTGATGGTTCTGAGGGCGAAAAATCGTCGAGGTATTTATTGTTTGCTTTGTAAAATCGGCGCGCGTAAATCGACGACATGCCTCCTCGTATCATTCGCTGCACAAGGTCTAGATGTTCACGGTCCGTTAAGAGTTTCAGTTCGGGCTTACAAACTTTTAGAAAGGCGTCCCCGGAAAGGTTACTTGCCGTGAAGTAACAGGCGCAATCCAGCCCGTATGTTTGATAGCAAACTTCACGAAAAGCTTCGAAAACGGAAGCAAGCAATAGCACATCTGTAGTCAAGTACAAGTCGTGGTAATCACCAAGTGAGCCACACTTCAGTTCGGTGAAAACTTTAAGGGCATGATTGTACTCGCTTCTTGAAACACTCACATCCCCTCCTGTTAGACTATTTTTCCACATTGCTCGTGGGGGAAGGCGAGTTTCTCGGAATTTTTCGAATGAGTTGAAGTATGAGTAGGGGTAATGCCCTTTCTGTTTCAACAGACTGACTTTTTCACGTGAGTGGCCGAGTTTTTCAAAATAGTTCTCCAGCAGAAAAAACTTTTCGTTGGGCAAATTATCGACAAGTTTTGCCAACGATGCCAGCATGAACCTATACGAATCGATGAATCTCAGATTTTCGTAGAGTTTTTTGATTTTTCCGTTTTTGTCCGTGTACGTTTTTATGTAGACTGAGATTGTCAAGGATATATATTTTTCTTCAGATGCGGGTATTACGGAAAAAGTGTTTTCCGAATCGCTTTTTGCCAGCGCTTTGATTATAAAGTGTAAATCATAATTTGACAAATTATGAGCTACCACTGGAATGTAATTTGTTGTTTTTCTATTAACGTTACACTCATTGTGTGCCCAACCCAGAAACTTGTTGGTGTAATGGCAATGATCAAGTACCACTTGATCATTGTCGGAAAAATCATTCTCGCATATCCAACAAATTGTAGCATCTTCCCGTTCCTGGTCTGTTATACCAGTGAAAGTGTAATATTTCCTTTTTTCTACGTAAATTTGTCTCGCTAACGATTCAAGGGAGCTAATTAGCTCTTCCATCACATTCGGTCCTCTTTTAAGCTCAAACTTTAACAGGTCTTTTTTCCCAAATTCGATTACTGCTAACGCGTAGCCGCACGGTTGATGGATTTCAATTGTTTGCGTGCTAGATTTTCGCGGATCAGGTTGCGGTCCGTATACTGGTAAGAGCAGTGACTCCAAATCAAAGTAGATTACTCTGGGTACGTACCAACGAGCTGTTAAGTTTTTGAACTTGTGGTCATCTTTTCCCGGCTTGGGCATTGTTATGACGACATCTTCGTCTTGGTAGCACAGTTCTTGATGTCTTCTCAAAGTTTCGAATGAAGCGCATGTGTGGAAACATTTGCGACAAATCTCAGATTGAAATCGGTGCACTTTGTGCCGCACGTACTCGACCAGTTTCTGGAGATCACTTATCAACACATAGTGATATTTTGATCCATCTGTCAGCAGCAACAAGTCCACAATCAGGCTAGTAGTGAATCTGCTCGATACTCTTATGGGCAACAATTCGCCATCGTTGTACCTGAACAGAAAAATAATTTTTATACCTAGGTTTGAAATGAAATAAAAAGGGTGTTTGAATAGGTGAAGAACATTATTGAAGGAATTTTAAAATTTTTAGAAGGAAATTAGAATTTGCTTACCGGAAGACGTTGATTTGACAATTGTTCAACTTTTCAAATCTGTCCATATCCATCAGACCCATTGGCATTTCGTATTCCCCATTGATTTTCACAATTCCTTCTTTGTCGAGATTGTAGGTTGAGACTTTGTTTTTCTCCAGCCACCGTCTAGATGTGGGGTAGAGGGCCGGCTCATTCACATTGTGATATGCGGCAACAAAGGAGTAGAGAAAGCAACGGTCATCATCTTTAGTGTTGATATTTGTGAGCAGAGTAGATGCTGCGCTGAGTGCATCAGGTAGCTCGAGGTAGGATCCTGCTCTTATTGGTGAGAAGGCCGCGAAACTGATTTGCAATTTTTCAATTCTGTCAATAATCCATCCGCTACCATGAGAAGAGAACGAATTGACTTGGTTGACCATATGTTCAATCAGTTC